TGGGCGGATGGAATCAACGCCTTACCTGGACAGACAGGTGTGAGTATTGAGCTCTAAAGTGAAAGACTCGAATGATAGAAGAAGTATGGGCGGATGGAATCAACGCCTTACCTGCAGATGAGCAGGAGAGAGAAGGACGGAAAGATCTTGAGCTTTCTATTCATAACGGTCTTTTATTCAAACTAAGCAAAAAGAGAACTAAACAGTAATAAAGTAACAAGTATTTACCTGGACAGACAGGTGTGAGTATTGAGCTCTAAAGTGAAAGACTCGAATGATAGAAGAAGTATGGGCGGATGGAATCAACGCCTTACCTGCAGATGAGCAGGAGAGAGAAGGACGGAAAGACTATTTGAGAGAAATGAGCACACATCCAGATAAACACAGTGGTGAGAAAAATTCAAAATACGTACTCGTGAGCTTTCTATTCCTAACAGTGAGGAAGGAAGAGAGAGCTCAAGAGAGGGAGTGTATATGAGGAAAACAGCACACACATGAAAAATTCAGCACAGGGATGAAACACAAGAGCGCACATGCAGTAGTCAGGAGCTATTCTCAAAGAGGAAAAATGAACACAATAACTTGATACAACACATCCTCACATTCCAACTACCTTTCCCGATTCAGATAACTTCATTCATCCTTATTGAGTACTTATAAAGCCTTGAAACCATTCATCACTACCATACCCACAACACACCTGTCCCACACACTCTACTTGTACTTCGTACTTAGGACTTGATTGTGAAGGACTTGACATAACCAGTACATTACCACAACATATCTAAATTCACATCATAATACTTCCTTTCTTCATTGGCATTTGTAGTTTTATTGGCCTTTTTCTATCTTGTTAAATGAAAACAGATAAAACAAGGATTTTGTAATTGAATTTTGACCCAAATTGGATTGGGCAGGAGTTGTTTTGGGCTCATGTGGCAAGCTACAGTCAAACCCGCGCTAATGCATAATTTGGGGAGACAAATTTAGCTATGCATTATCACAGGTCATACAAATAGGAATAAGTTGTCATAATGCATAATTGTATGCGCTTAGTATAAATGCATAAAATTATTCATTATGATGGGTTTTTGTTGATATTGTATATAATTATACATTAACATGTTTTGTATCTGGTGCGAGTACACAAGGCAAGGTGTACATTTTTGAGTACAGAGAAAACAACTGCTCTTTTGTGTGTAAGAACAACTTTATTGTATATAGCAAGAAACAAATTGAATTGTTTGTTCAAATCATCTCAGAGTTGAGATCGGCTGTTTTTTTAAAAAAATCAGAAGTGGATGATTTTTTATTGAAGGAGAAGAATAGATTGGACTTGAGTTAGTGACTGTATTGTTGTAAAACACAATCAAGCTGGAAACCAAGAGCGGTAGTGGTCCCTTTGATGTGAGCTACAAGACCATTGAGGTATTTTAATGCCTTGGCTGTGGTAGGTATGGGTTTGGGTTTGATTGAAGTATCTTCGGACTCTTCTTGGGAGACATGAGCTTGTTCATGAATCTCCTCAGCAGTTGGAGTTTTGAAGATGATAGTGTTTTGTCTTCAGGATTTGGCAGCTTGGATATAGACATATGATTCCTCGATGAGACTAAACAATCCTTCCAACACGCTTTATAAGTATGTGTTTAGACTTTGGGGATCTCAAAAACTCTATGCATTATGGTTTTTGACATATTTGTGCAATTCAGAAAAACAATTGCCTGCACAAGCTGGGTGGAAGCCAAAACCTATGCAGTTTTGCTGGTTATGCATGTGCACGGGTTTGACTGTATGCCACTTTGCAATCTCACAGTGACCAGGTTAAGCCCTTGAAGCAGGTGGCTGAGTTTTGATCCACATCCTTACCATGTGAGCACCACATCAGAACCACATGAAGTGTGCTGTGGACATCATGTGTTTCATAGCCTTACACGGCAACATCTCACTTGGCTTATGGATGCTACTTGGCTAACTATAGGAGCTTTTGGCATTGTGGGGTCCACGTTTCAATAGCTCTGTGGTGTATCAAAGCTTAATGATTAATAGTTTGAACAGGACCCAGGAAAGCTCCTCTGAAGGTTTGTGATTTTATTTGGGCTCATGTGGTGATATATACCATTTTGCACTTGAGCAGTGACCAGGTTAAGCCCTTGGAGCAGGTGGCCAAGATAAGCTCACCTGTTTATGTCCCACACCCTTACAATGTGAGCACTGCATCAGAACCACATGAAGTGTGCTGATATCATGTGGTTCATGGACTTAGATGGCAATCTCTCACTCTGTTTGTGGATGCCACATGGCTCACTATAGGAGCTTCTGACAATGTGGGATCCACATGTCAATATGTCTGTGGTCTATTGAAGCCTGATGATCAATGGTTTGGCAAAGCTCCTCTGAAGGTTTGTGACATGGTCTAGTTTTGGGTTTTCAAGGTCTACACTACACCCCGGTGGATTCCTCAAGGGAAGGAGCACTTCAAAAGATGTGCACAAAAAAGCGCTTCAAAATATGTGTTTAAGCTTCATTGCTCTGTTGAACGCAGTATAAAGGGGCACAAAATAAATCAGTCCTCCAATGCCTGATTTTGAGTTTTGGTTTTTTGAATGTTACATCAATAAATCTCAGGAAGTAGGGGTGCTATAGGGTCAAAAGTCTGTACATTCAAAATATCTTGTCTAGGCACATTCTTTGAGCTACTGTAGGTGTCAAAAAGCTGTGGTGGAGTGTGTCTATAATCCAAGAACTCCAAAAATAAATGTTGTTATTTGAACCACAAACCTCCAGAAGAGCTTTCCTGGGTCCTGTTTGGCCCCATCATCTAAAATTCAAGCAGATTGTATTTCCACTCTGGGTTGTCATAGTTTGAACAAAAATAGAGCACGAATCATATGTAGTAGAAATATAAGAATGAGTTTGACTGAGAAATCCTGCCTTGCCCGTTGACTTGAATGATTGAAATTGTGGACATGAGGAAGAAAGTGTTACAAGAGGAAAACAATAGCCGCGTTCAAACCTGACCCGGTTGACACAAAAACCCGGTTACCCAGTTGCTTTTCTGGTGGTAACTTTGTGTATCCATTGACAGTTCTTGACAGCTTCCAGCCAAAAAGTCCACCGGGTCAACTGGGTTTTTTGAAACCGGGTCAGGTTTGAACACGGCTAATAGCTCAGATTATACCTATAATTTATCTTAACCTAATTCTCTTACCCTGAAAAACTTATTACAACTGAACAAGCCATGGCTGAGGTTAGTACTTGTTCCCCAAAAGATCCTTTCTACTACTTTTAAGATATCCTCACTGCTAGAAATGATTATCATAACTAGATCCAGTGTGATCCTGACTGGGGGTCAAAAAGATTGATCTCACTTAAAGATTCACAATCTGAACTCTTTTAAATTTACCAGAGACCCTCAGAAATGGTTTAGCTTACATTAAAGCAGAAGTCACATAAACCACTACATGCAATGTGCTGACCCCACAGACACAGGGAGGTGGCAACACCACACAGGGGGTAAATGTCAGGTCAGCACAACCAGGGTGTTACCTCTTTGTATGTAGTAAATGTTTTGGTGCTCTGGCAAATTGCACCATTTTTTACACAGTTCACAGCACAGGTTCAACTCCCCAACACCTCCTTTTGACCTTTACATGCCCTGGTAAACCACTCCCAGGATGTTTCAATATGAACAGAAACTGACATGTCTTCCATTTGACTGTTCCAGGAACAGATTGAAATCTCCCTGGAACAATCATCCAAATGAGTTTCAGACGGTTTCATATCTTGTGATTTTTGTCCAGGGAACAAGAACTATTTGGTCCTCCTTGAACAGGTTCTGGACACATCCCAAACCAACCAAAAACAGGAACATGTCTGTAACAACACTATTAATCCAAGTTTTAGAATGTGTCACTTACCCCCTGGTGTACCACTAGCTGAGCAGTGATGTACCAGAAGATCATCCAAGTTGTCATACCCTACAAACCTTTCAAAATTCACTTTACATTTCTTCAAAGTTATTGTTAAAACTTTTATCATCCAAAGGTCTTTTTTCACAAAAAACAACAAATCAAATCCGCTACAAGTAGATTGATGTGCAGAAGTTTAAGCTTAGCATGTAGGTACTTGTGAAAACTTTCAAATTTACCTCATGGGTCCTGTTGCTCAGAGTCAAAGGTTTAAGAAAAAAACAAAGGAAGAAAAGGTCAAGTGTGTAAGTTCATTTTCTGAATCCAACTACTCTCCTAGCCAGCTCAAAAAAAGTACAACTTATTGGTTGAAATCATAGCCAAAGTACAATGTCATGGGCCGACCATATGGATGATGTAAGGTGTTGGATTCCTATTATATCCCTGACAATTGCAAATCTTATACTTTCCCATAAGTCAAGCATCATCTAAACTCTAGTGTTCTTTCTCTCATCTTTTTTGTTCCATTTCTTTTTATTGATTTTTTACTGTCTTTGAGGCTTCCATAATCCTAAGAATCTTTCTTGATCTTCTAGGTACATAAAGGATCCCTGCTTATGAGTTTCATTTCTTCTTAAATATGATTTTTTTCATATTTGCCAACTTCACAATTATGATAAACTTTGACATATGGTTCAGTTTGTAAGTAGACTTATGTGGCTTTTTGAATTTATCTTGGTCCTGGAATATATGTTTGGTTTTTGAGAAGGTAAGATCTCATTTAAGATTCTTCTCATTGAAGACTTCCAGGTTGGTTCCTCTGTGAAACCATGGAGACAAGTAAACTTCAACGGGTCTTGATGATCACCAGTAAGGAAGTTTGTTTTGAAAATATCAAAGATCCACATATTCTTCTTTAATTTCTGCATCACAACCCCTCAAGGTCAATATCCTCACATACATCATAAACTTTACCCAAACCCCACAAGATCCACAACCATCCTTATTAATGTAAATGTATAAATATATAATTTCTTGAAAAAAGGATTTTGAATGGCAATAAACCGTTTGTTTTGCCACACATTTCTTTTTCAAACAAAAAAATCAATTAAAAAAAATAATTAAAACCTCAAATCGAAAATAAAATATTGACAAAGAAAAAATTCACAACCATGAAAAAACTGAAAAAAAAAATATCTGAGTATACAATCTATATATAATCTTACAAACAAAAAAACTAAATAAAAAAAAACCGAATCATACAAAACTAAACTTGATAATAAATTATGAAATGATAAACTTATTGAATTCGAAATAAAAAAAAATGTCCAATAAATAAACTGAAACCATAAACTAATGTAACTTAAAAAAACTTTATAACTTCTAGACAAACGAGTGTATATAAAAAACTCAAAGAGATAGAGAGAGAGAAAGAGAGAGTATACAAAAACTGATAACAAAAGACTTATTAGATTATTCCATCAAGATAAATGAATGAATAAAGGTATCCACACTTTTCACAAGTCCTTTTACTGCTCTTCATAATGAGAAAAGACTTCCTTCCCCAAACCATGACATCAACAACAATACATCAAAACCAACTTTTCTCCTTCACCAAACCAATCTGCCAATTCCACTTCATCCCGAATCTCCCTCCATGAATCTTTTCCATCTTTAATCTTAACCAAACCATTCTGACCTCCTTCCACTCTTTCTTCAATCTTTTCTATCAATTCTTTATACTTCATTCCTTCTTGTATTCTCAATGCAAATACGTCCGAAGATTTTTCTTGATAGACTTTGATTCTATAAAAATTCGAATTTAAAGCTTGTGAAGGATTGGTAGAAGGTAAAGTTGATCCAATTCTTCGATGTGATGATGATCCTCTACTCTTAGAACCTTCTTTAACATCCTTGACCTTCTCATTCGATCTTCGTTTTGAATTCAACGTCTTTTGAAGTTCAACATCACCTTCTCTTGGACCCAAGAATTCATAAATAATCCCCTTAGATCGTACCACCTCATCAAACCCTTCCAATTCCTTAAAAAACTCATTCAATTCCTCCATCCTTCTACAACAAACTAATTCATCCACCTTGAGATCTGGTTCAAACTTTGCTGGACTCCTAGATTTGATCAAAACGTCATTCGATAAAGACGAATAAAATTCCAAAAATTGATCATATAATCTATAAAGTACCAACACCGTTTCATCTTTTGAATTCGCCTTCTTAAAATGTGATCTCAAGTGAAACCAATATTGACCCGATTCTTGATGAAATGATTCAACAGATGCGTGTACCAAGGTACCATAGCGATCTCTCAACATCCCAACGGTAGCAAAATGTTGTTCTTGGGAATGAATCGATTTAGCCGGACTAGGCGTAGGCGTTGATCGACCAGGTGGCAGTGGAAAATCTTTTGAATTAATCGGTTCCCGTTGTGATGGATGTTGATCGGAAGACCGTTTGTTGGAATGAATCGAAGAGGGATTGAGTGAAATCGGGTTAAGTGGTACCACTAGTTGAGTCGCTAGGGGAAGAGAAGTGACCGAGCTAAAGGTAAAAGGTCGAGTAGGAGTGGAAGGGGCTTTGAGATTTCCATGTGAACGAGCTGGTAACAAAGCAGCTCGAGCTGGTTGAGGCAGTGAGATTGGTTTTTTGGATCCTTTGAGTTCTGTTGCACCCGATTGAACTACACCGCCACGATTGCTCAAGTTATCAAATGTACCCAGCGAGATACTATTGACTTTGTAAGCTGCAGTGGATGCCTTCCAGGCGTCAATATCCGGAACACCTTTCTTCAAGATGACTTCTTTGAGATCTTTCAAACGTAAGGGATGACCCGAAACCATGTCTTTCACCTCTACAAAGTTCAAAGGAATTAATCCCGCTGTTTAAATGAGAAATACAAAAGCATATTTTGTTTTAGCAAAGTTGGTTGACTAAGGGAGAGAGAAGATGAAGGAAAAACTTACGTCCACCTAATCTACCGATTGGTTTGACTACAAACCATTGAGATTCACTATGAGCCATGATGACCAGTGACTCGCCTCGCTTAGCATCAAGTTCATCTGTACGCTCAGCTGTAAAGTCGTACTTGACCTGTACGGCAATGAAAGAAACATATCAGTCAAAAGGTTGATGTACGTTATCTATTGAAGAAAGATAAAAGATACTGACGGTACCAAACAACGGATTTTTCTGGTAGGCTCGAGATGAAGCCAATGAAGCGGCAGTAGCATGTTGATGGTTGACTTTAGGCTGAGAAGAAGAAATGATGCGAGTTGGAGAAGTGGGTGAATTGGTAGCAGACCAAGAAGGAGTAGATTGATGATGAGAAGTCTTCAAAACTTCTTGATGAAGAGATTCAAAACAAGTAGAAGGCACCAAACCGCGAGCACCAGATTTGAGATGACAAGCTTCAAACCAAAGATGACCAGCTTGATCTGATCGTTGACCTAAGAAAGAAAACGCATCACCAGATTGAAAAGAGATTTCCAAGCTATGAGTAGCTTTATAAGATTTAATAGATTTGATAATTTCAGGGTTTGATGATCTGCTTTGATGTAGAGTGTGTTGAAGATGAGTAGTTAGATGAGAAGGAGTTTGAGGATATGAAGAAGAAGAAGTTGAGGTGGTAGACGAAGTTGAAGAAGTTGAAGAAGTTGAATAGGTATTGACCCTAGAGTTAGTTTTGTTGTTCATTGAGCTCATCTTGGGATTTCGAACTAATATAGAATCAAATTTAAGTTTCGATTGAGTATTTTATAGAAAGTCAAGATAAAAGATATCAACGAGAAGCAGATGGAGGATAAGAGTATATATTTAATTCAAGAGTGAGAAGCAAAGACTATCTAGCTATGCAAATGCAAAGAATAGTATAGAGAAAAGTTGATGGTGAGATGGATCTGGATTGGTGGGCGATGAAGGATTTATGTAAATAGATTGGTCAATTGGTGAAAAAGGGTTAAGAGTGGGTGGGATAAGAAGATGGATTAAGTTTGTAAGCGAAGATGGAAATCCGATCTGATTTTATAATGATTTCCAAGAAAAGAACCAGAGTTATGCAAATAAAAGATTGAGATAGTTAGTTTATACGCAAATAGACTGTCAATCCACTTCAGATTAACAGGAACTGATCTTCGAATCCACCAAAAAACAAGAAGATATCAAAGTCAACTAGGATTTCATGGATTATATAATCAAGTGGCCACTCACTTTTCAAGCTGACAGTAGGTAGGGGTGTTTGTTCGATTGACCTGGTTTTTGCGGTTGATCGTTTGATGATGAAAAATGACAGTTGAAAGTTGGAAAGAGTGGAGAAAGGGCAAAGGGCAAAACAGGAAACGAATTAGTCAAGGAATTCGATCAAAGAGGTTGAAGGAAAGAAACAGTGATTGGATTTCTACTCACACAGTCACTTACGATTCACAACTGACCAGAAGTTGTGAATGGTGGAATTTATGTAAAATGATGGTATGGACTTGTGTGTGTGGTGTGATTGAGGCGAAAAAGAAAGAAAGTAGATGAGAATCAAAATAGAAAAACAAGTTGGTTCTGGGAGAAAAGTGAATGGATCTCAAGATTAGACATAGGAACCAGACGTCATTTGGTTTGACTGTTGACTGAAAGACTTTTCAATGATCAACGCCTATCAACAGCTTGGATGATGGTCAAAATTAAATGGTTTCGAATGGAAATCACATCACATCACCTCATATCACCTCGTCATTCATGGTTCAACTGAGTTTACACAGAAAACAGTTACAATATCAACTTGGATTATGATCACGATGATGAGAATGATGGATCATGATGGGAATATAATTGGGTATAAATCACTACTTTTGTTTGTAGATTCAAGTTGTATGCACCAGATGAGACTATATCGATCTTAAAAGTGTAAAGTGGTGTGAAGATTTGAAGAACTGGTCAACAAGAAATGAAAAGAAATCAAATCGGATATATCACGGTCAAGAAACCTCTAAATCCACTTCATCCTCACCCACTCAACCAAACTCGAAACAAACAAAACCAGCATACACATAAAGAAGATGTACATAGCGAGATCTATGTAGCAAGATTAAAGAAAGATGAAATGGGTACATAAAAGGAAAGTGGATTCGAAGAGAACTTACCATTTCTTATCCAACTGGCCGTTTCTATCAACATCTTGAGTTATAAAATGACTTGTTGTACAGAGTTGATTTGTTTGATTGCGGATGATTTTCTAAAAGAGTGTGAGTTCTCAATCTTGATAGAGACTTTTTAAGCTTATCTAGTGTATTCAAAGTTTTTAGAAATCATGAGATTGGTGGTTTTTGAAATTGGTGAATGATTTTCTCTGGTGGCACAATTGTAGCTTGCGGCTCTGGTCGATCGATTTGCTGAAGGGTGTGTGTGTAAAAATGGATCATCCATGTTTGATTGATATGATTTGTGGGGGAACTTTATTGGATAATGATTGGGGTGGTGTAATACTAATACGGATTTATGGGGAGATCTTATATCAAAGCCATCTTAAAAGCCTATATTCTTTTGATTTTCAATTGATTTTTTAAACAAAATAAACTTCTTCTTGTTCTTCACATTTTCTTCTCTCTTCTTGCTTTTCAATCTTTGGCTTAAAGTGATCTACTCTTTTATTTAAACAAAACACCCCACTTATTCAATCTTTCTAGAAAAACATAAACTAATTTGAAGTTGAGCTTTGATTATGAATTGTAAGTGCGGATGCTGATCAAATGTGATTGGAAGACAAATCAACATGGCTTTCCGTGATCATTCTGTGGGATGTTTGGGATCAGAGGTTTAGCCAAAACTGATCGAAAGATCTTTTAGAAAAATTCCTACAAAGTATGCATGGTCATTGGTCAACACCATCAAGCATATTTAGACTTGAATGATGGACCAATGAAGCAAATATCACGAGTTCCAAGCAATGAGAATAAGTGATGATAATCAACAATTCTAATGTTGAGGACTCAAATACAAAATAATCTTTGCATCAAATATATCTGAATATAATCTATTTTTATTTCAGTCAATATTTCACTTCTCCTTGTTCTTGGTAACTTTGATTCAAAAGACATCCTCAACTTTCGTTTGCAAAGTTTTCTTAGCGATTAGAAATCCCCCAATCAGAGCTTTTTGCTGTTATGCATATCTATTCCAATTCTAAGACCGAGTTTCCCAGACGTCATCGCTAATTGTAAAGAACCAAGCTCTTTAGTTACAGATTTCACAAGAAAGATAATCTTATTTGGAGAAGAACTAGATACATCTGATTATACATTGAAATGGTATACATCATTTGGTCATAATCAGAACATTTCATCGAAAAGTAACATTCTCGTACTGTTTATTGTGGTACATAACTCTTGATTGTTCGAGGTACATTTGGTGATACATCTTCTTGGCTTGCACCTAGTAAAGGCCAATAATCTGTTCTTTCAAACCTACAAAGTACAGCACCGACCAGACCATTCAAACACAGTCAAATAGATCACCAAGTCATAGAGACGAGATACACATACATGTAAGCACAATCGATAGCATTCGGTTGACCTAATTTAGGATCAGCCCCAGCTTCAAGAAGTGCGATTGCAATAGACCGAAAGTTTTTAAAGATTGCACCGGATAATGGTGATTGACCACGATCGTTTAATCGATTTGGATTGGATTGTTTGGAAATTAAGTATTTGACTAGTTCTAGATGACCAGCATAACTCGATAACATTAAAAGTGTATTACCTGAAATCATTTGAATGATTAGTTTTCGGAGTATACTATTGAGTGGAATGGTTTACCAGATGAGTTGGTCAGATCCACTGGTAATCCTGCTTCTATTGCCGCTTGAAGTAGGCTTTTTCATTCAACCAATTTAACCCATTTTTTTAAGCGATGATATTAACAAAGAAAAGTATGTCAGCTTGGGTTTGATCTAACGGATTTTTTTTGGCTACATCTTGTATTGATATTCGAACTCACTTTAGATCTCCAGATCTGGCTCCATCAAACATTTTATGCGCAAAGTTTATCGTATCTGAAGAAAGGACATTTATTTGTTGAGCTTCGTTTGATTGATGAGTTCCATTTGATTGGTGACCTTGGTTTGATTGTTGAGCTTCATTTGATTGATGAGTTCCATGTGTTTGGTGACCTTGGTTTGATTGTTGAGCTTCATTTGATTGTTGATTTCCATTTGATTGGTGAACTTGGGATGATTGGGGATGATGAAGTTCTGATGACATTGGTTGAAGTAGGTTGAAGTTGAATTTGTTTCGATGATGTCATTCAATTCAACTCAAGTGTACAATACATATGTAGCCTTGAGTGTAACGTGCTGGTTTCAAGAATGTGACAATACTATGACAGGCTATCGATCTAGTCATTTTGAGTGACAGCTGAGGTATGCTACATGTCACTTGATTGAAAGTTCTTCCACTGCCTTGTAGACTGTAGTGAGTGTGACCAAGTTCGTTGAGTTCTTCCACTTGATCCTTGAAGTTAACGGCAACTACTTCAAATCAATCTCGATCAGCAGTCTATCTCTTATCATCGATTCATCACTCGAAATGTCAGAAGATCTATTCTCAGTTTTAGCTGCAATCGGTATCATAGCTTTGGTTTACAGATGGTTCACTACTTCTCCATCGGTCTCTTCAACCACCTCAGGATCAGGTCGAGCTCAAACTGCACTTCAACGTAGAGCCTTGGCCGTCTCTCAATCTCAAGTAGATAGACTTCTTACTACATTTCCTCAACTTACTGAAAATGAAATTAGATATGCTTTGGTGACGACTACGGGTGGGGTTGAAGCTGTGGCTGAACGTGTACTGATTCAGGGAGGCCTTCCGCCGGTCAGTTTTTCTTAATGTGTCTTTTTCAATAGTGGGTCACTGGTGTTCCAAGCCTTTGCCCCAACTATATGATCTTCTAAGCTGATCTTTGTTTCTCATTTATCTTTGAACAAAAATAGCCACCAGCTAACTTTTTTCCAGCTGCTCCCACCTCCAATCAATCCGCCACGTCAAACTCCAATACATCATCTTCGACTGGCTCAACAGCTGTACCATCTCAAGCTGGATCACCATCATCTCATACGACTACTTCATCTAGTTTGATCTCAAGACTATGTTTAGAATCTTATAAACGGGATCAAGATTCAGCAATTTCAGAAAAACGCGAATGGACTTGGGAAGAAAGTCAAAGTAGATTAGAGAACTCAAAAGCTCAAGATGCGTCAAGTGGATCAACAGATCAAAACTCTAATGCATTAAAGGATCGAAAAGCAAAGATGGTACTCGAATCTAGGTGGTAAGTCAGATTCTCAAGCAAGACCTGATCAGATTTGAAATATTCATCATTGATTTGACTTTCTCTGATGTTAGGCGTATGCTTCAAAAAGATCGTAAAGGAAAAAGTACAGCTACAGTGTGATTAAGATGAACATAATTTGTTATATATTTAGAACCCCTTTCAAGTGAAAATTTTCATCCTTCCTTCGTCCTTTTGTCCGCCCGGAGCAAGGACTTCACCCAATCTTTGCAGTACCTTTTTTACGTATCTTCTCAAATGAGAATCAATTTTGTGTGAAATTAAACTTGATTGTTGTATTCTCTGAGATTAGAAAGTAAAAAGAAAGGAATTATATTTACATATGCAAACTAAATTGATCGCTTTTCTTAAGTTGTAGGTCTGATATAATTCCCTTCATTGATGTTAGAATGATCCTGTAGTTATTTTGTTTCTTTCTTTTTTGATTTCTTAAAGTTTATTATAAGATTACATTCATATTACATCGGATTTGAATTCATACTTTTAATGCAACATTAATTTACATCAGTAGAAGATTGTGAGTATGCGACTCCGATTTACAACGCATGTTGGGACACCTCGAAATAGTAGGGTCTTGTGGTGAGTTATCTTTAAATCGACTGATGATCATGCTCAATTCCTGTCTCCATAGTTCATGACAAGATTGAATGTATAGAACAGCCCAGATTGATCGAAACATGCATACATTTGCAGAAATTGATGGAAAACAAGGAATGTAAGTTTATCCTCAAATTGTTACAGCTTGAGGCTCAAACCTGCTCAATCTCCTTTCGTTCAACTTCTGATTCACATCAAACATCCACTTTTAATCTTTCCTTCCTTACCTGGAGTATTTAACAAAACGTGGAGTGTTTGACTACCTCAAAGAAAGTATGTTGACTCTTCTCTAAAACGATCACATGCCACTGTCGAACCCTACTTAATATCCACCTCTAGTGTAGGATTGGTTCAGTTTTCTTATGATACATGATCGACCATGTAAGACCCAATCCTCCGTGAAATTGCTTATGGTCGGATGCAGACTTACATCGAACAAGTTTGATACACGAATAGACAGTTTTGTTATGATTGGTCAAGATTACCCTGTAGTGTGCGTCGAATCAAGCTGATGATAAAACACGACTTGTTCATTAGTGATTTGTTTCGAGGATGTGGCACTAATTACGATGAAGATTCTTTAAGACCTTTGAGTTTTCTTAGTATAAGATCAATGCTTCGAAATTGACCAACTGAACCTCAATAAAACAGGTAGCTTACAATTCTCAAGTCTTTCAGACCTTGTCATTCACTTTATTTAATTTAAAACTTCGAGTCCTTAGAAGTAGCTTTTCTGTAAGCATGATTTGACTATCTTACGAAGCCGCTCATTCTAGTTCTCGTCTTTTTTTATCTTTGCTAATTGCTTTTGGTTCTTTGCTGTCTTATCCTTCATTTTTTGTTTGACTTCGCAGGTAGCGTTTTACACCACATTCGCCTATCGAAGCCGAAAGCTTAGCTTTAGAAGTCAAGCGTTTCAAGAGATAGAATATACTATTTGCTACACTGGTCACACACCTGCATATTGTAAGTCTTCTACCTTCAAAGGTCACTCTCATTAGTGTACATGCCTTTTTTCCGCGATTTTTTGGGCACGACCATATTCGCGAATATATCAATGTGAGGTGTACAGTGCTGATAATCGTTGTTTCGGTTTTGATAATCATCTATAAGAGACCGGCGATATGTTATCACAATTGGTCTTAGGATTATCGCTATGGATGCCTTCTCATGCTTATGCTGGTCTATCGCCATTCCACACGGCATCGACTCTAGCTCACCAACCCTCAGAAATGGATGCAGCTGGTACATCCGCCCATGCACCTCTCACAATCACCTGGAGTCCGGGGACGCAAGAGATGAATGGAAGAATGGCGGAGGGTGCACAAGCTGACAGAAGAATGCAACTCGCACAGAATGACTTACACGATAGCTTACTGGCAGATAAACCGAAAACCACTACTGAAGAAAGTAATCAAAAGCCGGTACAACTGGTGGAATCGGTAGAACACGCCAGATTAGGGGAATGGACTTTGAGAGCAAGAAAACTTCTACCTGGAGACAAAGCGCAAACTGCATTCGCACCTACAACTCAAGATCTATCAGAAACAACCACTCTTGTAGCTCCGTCTATCAATACGATGAGAACATACGATGCTGAAGAACTACTTCACATTGAAAAGAAAGCAAGGGAGTTGAAGCTGGGGTTCGACTACACGTACCTCGGCCATGGCACCTTTGTCAGAGATGAGAAGACAAAGTGGGATATACACGGGCTTTGGGGACAGATCAGGGTGTATGATAAAGATGAACACAAGTTATTATATGAAACTGATTGTTGTTATTGTGGTGGCCAAGGGAGATCATCAGGCGACTACACGACCGGAGAAGATTGGATACAGGGTGCGATAGGCCTTTGTGGTTTTGTCGCTTGTACTTCGGCTTATGTCGCATTCAAACTTTTCCGTGAAACATTGTAATGGTTTACCTACCTTTTAGATTTGATTATCAAACATACCTCTTGACGGCATGTAATGTGAATCAGGCCGACACACCGCACCTGGTTTATGATGCTGAGCTTTCGGTGATTGATTGTGCCGCAGACAAGGTCACATTCAATCTGATTTCATTGCAATTTGCTAGTTGATAGATGGTGAGTAAGTGCCCAAGCACGAGTGATTTAACAAAAGTTGTAAGACATAGTTGCGCGTTTACTTGTAAAATTCGATGATCTACCTTTGCTTTTGTGAGAACGGGAATGAGAGGTATCGAAATGGATCATCGTATTGAAAACAAAGTGTCGAACATGCGCTTTCACGGCGCGTGATGTCACGAATGGAGGCAATCCGCCGGACCGGATGTTCGAGCTTCACCTCTTGAAGGCGAAGCAGTTAGGTCACACTGAATTGATTTTATCGCTTGCTGGTCAATGTGGTGACTGAGCGCCTGATTCCCAGCGTTTGAACAAAAGCTAGATGGTTATGTTGTGATTTACTTCGGGGATTATCTTTCTTTATGTGCGATCTGAATCGACAGGTATTGAAAGGGATTTTTGCATAATTGAACATGGTCTTTCAGGAATGATGCGGAATGGGCATTGGCTTTTATACTTTCTTGAGCCTAAGCTAACCCTTTGGAACGGAGCCAAGATGATGATCAAAGGTTTCTCTCTACAAAGCTCGTATTTCTCTTCTCTTCAGTGTCATTATAAAGCATGTAGTGATACAAAATTCGGATAAATCTATTCAGAATCGTAGCATTTCCATACAAGGCTGCACACATCCCAGTTCCGCAATGAATTGTGAGTAACAGTCACAAAACCACATGTTTTCATTTGAACTAACGGAGAAACACAACAAAGATGAACAAAAGAAATGAAGAATAAGAGAACAGAGACCAATTTGAATTTTTAACAAGAAAGATAGGCCCGAGAAATAGATGATATGAAAACTTAGTAAGTAAATATCATGGTCTGATTTCAAATTCACTCATGCCCGTCCGATTTTTCATCAGAGCCATTGCCATCATCTACAGCTGTAGTATTCATTGGATCTAGTGTGTCTGAGGTAGGTTCTCCTTCATCAGTGCTATTGGTCACATTCGAAAGGCAGCTTGATTGAGTAAAGTTCATCATCGGCGCAGTCGTCGCATCTGAGTTGGCTAGAGCGGTAGTGTTCATAGAGTCAGATGAACTTTCGGAGGCTCCGGAGGATGTCGTATTTGCGGCCGAGGAGTCTACTGTTGTTGTGGTGTTCGATCCAGTAGTCGTGTTCATACCCGTAGTCGTTGATGCATTTCCGAAAGGTATGGTCCTCGCTGTTCGAAGAAAATAAAAGGTGGGATTGAGAAATTAGATTCAAAGAAAACCTGAAACTACAAAGAATTGCAGAAAAGGTAAAAGAATTGAAAAACTAACGATCTGAACCTTTTTTGACATTGCCACCACCAGTGGTAGACTTAGGATCAAAGAAAAGGTTAGGATCTGCTTGAGGACTTTGAGCTTGAAAAACTCCATTCAATTCACTATTCTTAGGTTGTTTTTGACAATAAAGACTATTTCTATCAGTCGGAGGTTGATGACTATAATCTGGAAAACTATTTCTTTCTGTTTTTCGATATTCTATTGCTAATCTTATCATTTCTTTTTGTACTTTTGGATCTTTGACTTTAGATTTCGCTTCATCAATTATACCTACAAGAAGAAATTTTTTGATCAATTTTTTTCTTCAACGTTTGGAGCCGGAACAACATTCATTGAGTTTACTTACGATCTGCCATATCTTGTTGAGCACATTCCGCTGCACCTGCTAGAAGTGGGGCGACTGCATCTCCTGATAAAGTTCCACATATCTCCCCTGAACATCCTTCAAGGTTATGTAAATCGTTGAGTACCTTTGGATGCGAGTTATTATCACTTATTCTACGTCTGACATGCGTAGCTCTGGTATGGATATGTCCATGAGGTATGTGAAAGGCATCGTGTTCTGAGTTATGGCCTCTAAGATGTGGAGATCTGGTATGTATATGTCCATGAGGTCTGTGTAGAGCATCGTCTTGTAAGTAATGATGATTGAAAGTTGCGACATTGATAATCAAGCACGCCAAGAAAACGAGAATCGAGAGTAGAGACCACATTCCAGCTGTGAGAAGAGTTGATATGGGAGGAGAGTTTAAAGCAACAGTAAAAGAATAGGATAATTTAATTTATTTAATTTATATCAGATAATTTTGATAAAGGTTTGGTTGAGATCGGATTGATAAGTGGTATACCTATATTCTGATGGACGGCGTGAGTTGAGGAGAAAGTTTTTGGACCTTCATTTCTCGTGCTTATATCACTCACTAAGCTCAGGTATCAAAGGCTCAAAAGTTCAGTAGCCATCTTGTGATTTTGACGATACAACGCCTTTGTTATAGATAAGAGTGAGAATGACGCAATCCATAGATAGAATAGTAGCCTGAACAAGTCTGACTCTGAAGGGATGTCTCTCGGCCGAGGGAAATAACGAACCAAAGACAAATAGGGAGGAGGGCAACGATGCTAGATGAAAAGTAACCTTTCAAGCAAATACGTAGTTGATAGGCATGACTTGATATTCCAGCATGTTGAAAGGTGCATACTTAAGCAAATAATTCGAACAAAGGGATTGATCTTATGAACGTAGTAGGAAACAAAGAGGTCATCAACTGAGCTGAACAACATATTCCATGATCGAATTGAGCGCACCTTTTACAACTCAGCATGCGGAGTTGTTCACGAGGTGCCTGAGGCGTGTACAACCCGGTCTCGGTACAGCTCAAGAGGGCCCGAGCCTCCGAGGCATGTCCTGATAATCTCCATACAGCTCCAACCTTCTGGTCTTCGTTTTGTTTGGTTGGGGCACGGAGGAGATGGATGATGTTTGTGGATTGTATGGACACAAGAGAAATCGAGTTCATAGCTTCGCGATAAATGAAAGCGGACACATCAGTTATCAGTCTTTCAACTGTCTTTCATTCATTTCTTGACTGACATAGAGACATGATGCCGCTGGCGCATATACGGACTTTAAATTCTGGTAAATTTTTGCGATGACTTGTCATAGACTCAAGAAGAGCGCGTGAGTGAAAAGTTTTGATCCACATGGCGGAGGTCTAAACATGTAGATTGGCCATGCCTTTTCACGGTCATATTTTATCATCCTCTCCAGACGATTTCAAACCTAGTGGCACTGGCCGCTGGAGCTGGATTTGGCCATAAAATGGTGAGCTGGTTTCCAATCACCAGTCAGTGTCACCCCCGTGTCCACATCTCAACATTTCTGCAGTATTTTCTAACTTCTTTCTAACTTCTGGATCATTTTCTAATCCTGCATAATTTTCTAACTTCTGCATCAAAGACCGAGATTTTTGAACCCATAAGCCCTATCTAAATGGCTCCGATTGTGTCTTTCGTCGTGTTCGTCGCCTTTATCAGTTTCGTGAATGGCTATCTAATAACTAAGCCACACGAGGATGAGATTTGGCAGTTGAGTAGCTGCTTCTACGTCTCTTCCTTCTTTGGTCTGTAGTCCTCCAAGGCTCATGAACGATCTGCCCCCTTAGCTTCGGTCATCGCAGATTGATTCGCTGGACAGCCGTAGAAACCGATCCGCCTGAAATCACCATTGCTATCACGAACATGGATGGGGGGTTAGTTTTTGGCTCGAAATCTTTATGCATTCTTGTTGGACTGAAGTATTTGGTGGTACAGAACTTATCCTGCTGGTATGAATCGAATTATTAAGCAGGGCGTGAGAAAGGAGAGAGGTAAATTCGTGATCAATGGTCATGCGTTTGAAGGACTAAACGAAGGACGAGGATACCAGATCAACATCTTGAATAAGGTCTGATTTTTCTCTCGTCAATTCTGGCTCTTCTTGGTCTAGGTTGTTCATACTGAGAATTTGAAAACCACAGGACGCTGGCTCAATCTTGGCTCAAAGCCCGCAGTTTACGCTATCGTCCGAGGACCCAAGTGATACAGGCCCATCGCTTCCCAATCCCAACAATCAGACAATAAATGGGGCAGACGATCACATGTCCCCAGGTGATGATGATGATGACATCGACGAAGTGATGGCGAATAATTTCAACAAAACCTACGCCGATGAGCTCCTAACGAGCACTTCTCGAGATGATCACTCGCGGAAAGACTGCGCACGAAGTACCAGCATGGGGCCCAAAGTGGTGAGGATTGTGCGTCGTGGAATCTAGGTAGCTTCAGGTCCAAACTTTGAAGTGAACAAAAAAGTCCCTTTGATAGTTTTGGCCTCTTTTTGATCAAATATTTCTGAAATGGGGTCAATTCCCCTATTGTTATGATGTGTGTGGATGAGGTTATGTACGGTGATGCTAGATTGGGCGTTTTTGTGGGCTACTATTGTGGTTTTATGGATTGATATAAGTCAGAACGCAACTTGATTACCCTGAAATACCACCGGGTGACAAATTTTTATATCTGAAAGCTCTATCAAGGAAGTTGTAGTTCACTCAATGTCCTTCAGAAGTAACAAGCAAGGTGTTCTGAATATGATCGTGGTCATTTCGCATTTCTGAGACCCTCAGACATCAGTGTCATTGGCGGTCTTTTTTCAACCCAAAAGCAGATGATAAGCCTCCTGGCTCGCATTCATCTCAGTCTCGGTCATCTTGCCAGAAATCAAAATCAGACAAGAAACCTTCACGGATCAATTTTTCTACACATGCAGCTCCATTCAGGTCCAATCAAAATCAGATAAAAAGCCTTCTGGCCCAATTTTTGAAGCTTTCACTTCTCTCACTTGACATTCTGAATACATCTTACTTTTCTGTCAACCTCGTCTTTTGGTTCTGTCCTTGGCTTTATTGTGGCTACGTTTTCGAGGATCTTTGGGGACACATTTTTTCTCCCAATCTTTTCACTATCTCCTTAATCTCTATGATTTGTTAATGTTATCAGTCTCTGATTGATTGAAAAGAAACAAGTTTCGGAGCTTCGATTTTTTGCATTTCTCTGGTTGACCGTTACTTTTATTATTCTTGACCCGTCTTTTCTCATAACTTCTTTCAAACTCATCTGTGACTCACGTTTCTATCTTAAGATTCCCTTTCCTTTCTATCTTATGTGCATGCATTGGATCTTGAGTCAACGCTTTGCTTAGCTCCGTGGTGCTCTGTCTTTTGCTCACTTCTGTATTGTATCATTTTTCATCTTTCATGGAACTTACAAAGGCGTAGCAATGAAAAAATATTAAAGAACAAAAGCGGCAATAGGTTTTGGGTGAAGTCCCAAGGCTGAGTCTAGGGTATGATATTGCTTGATAAAAAAGAAGACCCTATGGGGTGACCAGCGGACAACAAAAAATAAAACGCTACGCTGATAATGATACCAGAATAGGGACAACCTTAAGGAAAAAGGAACGCTTAAACACTGAATTACCAATTGTGATAGTTGAACTTGTACTGAATATAACACTCTTAAAAATGATAGCACCAAAACATAATTAAACCTTGATCCCAAAAACTAAGAAATAACCAATAACTCCGACTCAGAACCAAAGATCACGCTCAAAGAATGATCCAAGATCACATACATAGCGCAAAGCCAGACAGTCAATAATGAAGGGAATAAAAAGGGAAGGAGGTCTGCGAAATTACACAGGATAAGAGAAATTGAATAGACGGCTGTGAACACGATGAGAAAAAGTCCGGTGAGTTGGTCAGCACAGATGTCCGACCCGTTCATAAATATACAGGTGCGGTAAAAGTCCGAATTCATCCACATTCTCAAAATCATATCTTCAGGCAGCATAACAATAAAAGATGGCGAAAAAATACAATGAGAGTCCCTTGGAAATGTGAAGTACTGAAGTACATGGGACTCCATCTGACTCCATATCAGAGCTGGGTGAATGATCCTTTGGGAATTGCGTTGGGATGTATTTTTAGCGCTCAAAATCTTCAGCCGATGAAAATCCTTGATGACCAGCTCTGCTTGAGAAACGATGTTGTTCCTCGATCATTTTCTGCATTTCTAAACACTGCACCTCCGCAGTCCCCCACACCATCGATTTTTTTACATATTCGATTTTCAGACTACAATGCAGCAGATCTCCTAACCGAAAGATCCTACCAATGGCTAAAGAAGACTCTCAAATAACATATGAACTGTGACATATGAACAAAAGTTATAGATTCCCGCATCACTTCAGGGTCGCCTGCCAATATCAAAACCAGTGAAGGCTCCCGGAGTAATCTACCTATAAGCTTGTAAGAGTCTATCCTTTTTCGCTTTTTTTGCAAAAATATATGTACAATCTACATGCGATTTTTGGCACTTTTCTGTATAACTTGTCAAGATACGGTTGCACTACCAAAGCGTAATAAACCCGGCGAGATGATCATCTGTGACTCTGAGAAGTTGGAACTTTGAAAAGTCATCATCCATAAATCCTCATAAATTCCAACTGAAATGATGTACCCCAATTTCTTTCGTTGCGATCAGATTGATTGAAATGATAATGACATCCGTTCTAGAATTGAAGGCTCTTTATCGCCAAGAGTGAATGAGCATGTAATGCATAATCCGAACCAAACACCTAGGACACACAGTTAGGGGAAGATACTTTGACTTTTAATTGGTCATGTGACATGTACGATGAGGTCATTCAAGGTCATATATTTTCAAATGAAAATCCATTTCCTGTCCCCACCGAGCGACATGAAGCTCAACCCTTCGAAATGAGCTTAAGACAATAGTTTTTTTCGACTCAAGAAGTTTCACCGCAGCCATCTTGAAAGCAATTGAAACAAAACACAAGATCCTCGAAGGGGAGATCATTAAGATTTTAGATGTTTCTACAATTCTGAGAGTGATATCTCGTAAAGTTGTGATTAGAAATGAACTTGAATTAGATCGAATCACGATGAGATACCTGTAAGCGATTAGTCATCAATCCTGATTTCTGTCGATCTACATAACTTGAAATTTTCATATTACATCGACTGTTTGTGACCTCAAATCCAGAACACTAATCCCCACTGGGTTCATGACTCATGATATCTATTCACATTAGTCAACTTATTTCCTTGTTTTATTAACTTAAGTACACGGTATATCTATCTATATCTATCTCATTCTCCATTTCTCCCGGCTATTTATTCCTCCTATTCACATTCTCCACCAGGGTCTTTCCTACACGATTCTCATAGTAGAACTCCCATCTCAAAGCCTTTGCAAGCATTCAAGTTCTTCACCATGCCTGCTAAAATTGCTATCATTAGTACGTTGGATATCTATCTGATATATCTTTGAATAAGATTATTCCTGATGAATATCAAAATGTTCTTCTCCAGCATATTCGATGTATGGACATGTGGATACATTGGCGGATTCAGTTGAAGAAGGTGTCAAGGCATCTGGCGCTATTCCTACTCGATTTCAATTACCAGAGACTCTTCCTGCAGAAGTATTAGAGAAAATGTACGCTGCGCCAAAGCCTTCTCATCCTGTGTTAGAGGATGTGAACACACTCAAGGTGAATAAATCATATCTTTTTTGATAACGATCATTGATAGTCAATTTATCATTTGTCACACTCGATTGTAAGCTGACTTATGATTCTACTCATGTATTTATACAGGAATTTGATGGTTTCCTCTTTGGATTCCCCACTCGTTATGGTCGTACTCCAGCTCAAGTCTCTATCTTTTTTGATAAGACTGGTGGATTATGGATGTCAGGAGGACTAGTCGGAAAGGTCAGCATCATTCATGATCACGAATTTTACAGAGTGTGAGTCTAACCGGACTTTCTTTGATTAGTTTGCTGGGATCTTCACCAGTACTGCTAGTCAACATGGTGGTCAAGAAACTACCGCTTTAACAGTTAAGCAGTTGTCCTTTTAGCTCTACTCATCAGTTTTCTATCTAATCGCACACATCTTTGTCTCGTTTCAGACCCTTCCGTTTCTTTCCCATCATGGTATGATATACGTACCTATCGGTTACGCAAACGCAAACCTACAGGACAATGGTGAGGTCCTCGGAGGCTCCGCTTGGGGAGCGGGAACCGTTAGTATTGATTCATCTTTTCTTTCAAACAACCGTTCAACACTGAGCTCTCTGTCATTCCGCTACTTACAGATCGCTGGTGGAGATGGTGCAAGAAAACCCCATGCCAAAGAACTTGACATTGCAAACCATCAAGGAAAATCTTTTGGTACGATCTTAAATCAGTTCGTCGCTGGGAAGTGAGTAGGTGATCCTACACTTTATTTCGAGTTTTTTTTTCCCTTGAATACTTTTACATTTCTATTCTCGTAAAGAAGATGTTTGAGAACTGGTTAAATACGATTGGTATTTAACAAAACCAATTTTTGCTGGGATTGTTTTTTCCAGCGAGAAATGTTATCATGTTTTACAGCGTTCTCCAACCCAACGAGCCACAACAACTTTCCAATGAATTTGATTGACCATATCCTACCTAAATGATTTGGAAATCTCGTTCGTATACTATTACTCCAATCATATGATGAGTGTCTTATAAACCAAGAATCAATACATCTAAAAACACTTATCGAGAGAATTTTTCGGAAAGATTGATGACTTATTGAAATTTTGAATGAACGTTTTCAACTTTCTTAGAATTTCATCAGAAGCTCAAATAGAAAAAGATCAAAGAAAAGAAGAACATAATTCAATTCCAACTATTCCAATTCATCAACAAGAAAATGAACCTAAACCCAAAAAGAAATTAGGTTTTGTACAACGTCTTTCATTGAGTTGTGGTGGTGGACAACAGAATTATGAAACTTGATGTCATTTGATACTGGGTTCTTTTCGAATCAGATCAGTTTCTCTTGATGATATCTTTACTTTTGTCTTATAGGCTATCATAGTACAATTCATCTTTTACTATACGTCTTGTAGCTTGATGAATGCTGTGGTGGTCAACTAATTATAATGTGATGGGAATGTTCTTTGGTTAAATTGAGAGCACCAATCGTCCACTGCTGACGGTGGCTATGTGGGCTTTAAGATAGATATAAATTTCACAGTTGCTTGTATTTTGAGAGTCATTGGATTTCCGGCTAACTGGACCCTCCAAATATTCCTCAATGCCTGACACGTTCAGGCTGACTTCCTTTTGCCAACGACGAGTGAGTGATATTGATTCAGTGTATGAGTTGAGTTCCCTACTATAAGCATATTTTGCTACTAGGAGATGCTTTTATAGGGTACTTAGCGTTCCTCAGCTCTGATTACAAGCATACTCCGATAGGCTCGGCGCCGAGCGGCAGTCGATCATTGAGAAGATCAGTCAAATTGCGTCATCCCGCATTCATCCGCTTAACCTTGGCAGACTTGACTTTACCCCAATATAAATATCCTCCCCATCCTCCTCAACCCCTCTCAGTCATCAAGTCGAGTAGCAATCCAATACCGTTAGCCAGTCTCATTAGATATCATGTCTGAAAACAATATCGTTAGTCTTTCTTGATCAAGTCAACTTCCTTCATGTGCCAGACTTTCGATTGAATGTTACAATTTCTAATGATCTGATTTGGGTTTCGTGGTACAGCTTGTACTCGTGCGCCATGGACAGAGCGAATGGAACAGTAAGCGCCACCTCTTGAATTTACCTAAACATTCCTATACCTCAACCTTTTTACTGATCATCTTCTTACCATACAGAAAAGAACTTGTTCACCGGTTGGAAAGATCCAGCATTGACTGACCAAGGAAGAGACGAGGCTAAATCCGGTGCCGAACGTTTACAAAAGCATGGTTATCAATTCGATATTGCTTTCACTTCTGCTTTAAGTCGAGCTCAAACTACCTTAGCTATCATTCTTGATATTCTGGGCCAATCGAGTATTGAGATTCAAAAGGATCAAGCTCTCAATGAACGTGATTATGGAGAATTGACGGGTCTGAACAAGGATGATGCCAGAAAGAAATGGGGAGAAGATCAGGTTCATATCTGGAGGCGTAGCTTTGATATTCCTCCTCCTGGTGGCGAAAGTCTCGAAATGACTGCTCAGCGTACATTGCCTTACTACAATGCCCATATCAAACCTAAAGTCTTGGAGGGCAAAAAAGTTCTAGTAGCCGCTCATGGTAACTCGCTACGGTAAGTCATCTCCAACAGTCTGTCATCGCCATCTTACTTACTAAACCTTCCAACCGCTTCAGTTCGATCATCATGGAATTAGAAGGTCTCACCGGCGCGCAAATCGTAGAAAAAGAACTTGACACTGGTGTTCCGATTGTATACGAGCTCGACGCTCAAGGTATGTTTTATTATTACCTGACTTGATATTAGAGAAGACTTCTTTCTCAATCACCTGTTTTCTTATGTTCTCACAGGCAAGGTCATCAAGTCTACTGTTCTCAAGGCTTAAAATTCGGGAAATGATATCGATTGGACTCATTTGGAAAATGATACCTGATTCATTGCTCATTGTTTATTCAACTCTTGTAGCACGTTGAATGTTATTTTAGATTGCAAACACAGACCTGAAAGTCTAGACAGCCATTTTGTGTTTTTAACTATTTGGTGACTCTGTCAAATCAAAGTCTTAGCCTAAGGTTTTTAGATTTGTGAGATTTGAGAATAATATTAACCTGGGACTGTTCAAATGTACCCTATTGACTCTGGTTTAGATTCACTGTAACAGCAGAGCAGTAACTGAATGAGAAGGAAAGCTAACGGATGTATGATGTGGCCAATAGTTCAGTCATGCCTGCAAAGTATGAATGAAAGAATTCGATGCGGGATCTAATCAACGCAATAGAGCTATGATGAAACCTGGACAGACAGGTGTAAGGTATGAGCTCTATGTGATAACTCGAATAGTGAAAAGGGACAGTGGCGGATGAATCAACGCCTTACCTGGACAGACAGGTGTAAGGTATGAGCTCTATGTGATAACTCGAATAGTGAAAAGGGACAGTGGCGGATGAATCAACGCCTTACCTGCAGTGATGCAGGAGAAAAGAAAAACGGAATCTCGAGCTTTCAATTCCTAACGGTCAGGCAAAGCAAAAATAGAAAAACTACTGAAAACAATATGAAGTACTAATTACCTGGACAGACAGGTGTAAGGTATGAGCTCTATGTGATAACTCGAATAGTGAAAAGGGACAGTGGCGGATGAATCAACGCCTTACCTGCAGTGATGCAGGAGAAAAGAAAAACGGAACTATTCGAGATATCGAGAAAGAGAGATTTGATGAGTACTATCCAGGAAAACAGCTAATAGAGTGATTATAGAGGAACACCGCGACTTACTCTTGAGCTTTCAATTCCTAACGGTGAGGAAGGAAGAGAGAGCTCGAGAGGCAGCGGGAATATAAGACAAATCGAACACAAGTGAAAAATTCTGACAACGGGGTTCAAACACATTCATAAAAGATAGAAACTAAAAAGGAACAGGCTACTCTCAAAAGGGAAGTAATGTTAACCTCATTCGTCACTTTCCAACACACACACCCATGATACCTTCCCGATTTGGATGCACTTCTCACACTTCCTAACTACCCCCTTGACACAATTCCCTACCATCTTTACACGCAGCACACACTTAATCCTAGCTCCATCTACTTCTACAACTGCTACACTGATCACGTGAAGGACTTGAAGTGGAGATCGAAATCATACAATAACACGCCCCCTCAAGTTCTTCTCGTGATAGGCTTGAGACCCAGTAACTTCCTAAGGCTTGCAAATTGCTGAGATCCTAACGGTTTTGTGAGGAGATTGGCAATCATCAGGTGAGACGGACAGTGTTGGAGTGAGAGTTTTCCTGAGTTTACAACCTCCCGAATCCAGTGATGGTGAATCTCAATGTGTTTCGTTCTGCCGTGAAAGATAGACTTGTTAGTGAGATGAATAGCGCCCTTGTTATCACTTTCAAGGACAGTCGGGTTTTTGTCTTCAAGGCCTAATGTAGTTAGCATAGTTCTGAGCCATACAAGTTCCTGTCCCGCCTCCGTGATTGCTCTGTACTCAGCTTCGGTGGAGGAAAGAGCCATGGTTGGTTGAAGTCGACTCTTCCAAGATACAGCTCCGTTGGCGAGGATGAGAACGTAGCCGGTGGTTGATCTTTGAGTGTCTCTATCTCCAGCCCAGTCAGCGTCACACATGGCTTGAGGACATAACTCACTTTTGAGACCCCTAACATGAGTGATGGTGGAGTCACATGAGTAGGTTATTCCAAGATTGAAGGTCCCACGGAGGTATCGAAGAACATGACAAGCGGCATCCCAGTGTTGGAAACCAGGCCAGTCAAGGTGCTGAGAGAGGGTACCAACTGCATGCGCTAAGTCGGGTCGCGTACATTGAGCAAGGTACATTAAAGAACCCACAACACCCCGATAGGGTAGTTTTCGCAGAGCGAAATCATCAATCTCTTCTTGATCGGGTTTGTAAAGTTTCAGATTCGCAGTGAAGGGCGTGCTAGCTGGCTTGACGTCTAGGGAGTTGAATCTTTCCAGTACTTTGAGTGCATAGGCTTCTTGACAAATTGAGTATCTGAAAGTATCCAGTCTGTTGATTTCTATTCCTACCACCGTGGATGCCAATCCTAGGTCTTCCATTTCCCAGCGTTGGGATATTTCCAACTTGAACGTCAAAATGTCGTTACCGGTGATGGCTAGATCATCGACGTGGACATACACTGCAGTGAATTTTTCGCCTTGATTTCTGATATATATACAGTGGTCGACTTCACACCTCACAAACTTGACACTTAGAAGAAATTCCTTTACATCGTCCTGCCAGTATTTCGGCGCTTGTTTGAGTCCATAAAGTGATTTCAGAAGACGACAGACCTTGTGTTCTTCACCGGGTTGCCGGAAACCTTCAGGCTGTTCAACATAGATGAGTTCATGAAGATCGCAGTTGAGAAACGCGGTAACCGCGTCCATTTGATGGACTTCCCAACCAAATATGGCAGCAATGGCAATCAGGAGACATAAAGAGGTTGGTTTTCCGGTAGGGGCAAATGTTTCGAAGTAGTCTTCACCTTCAACTTGTGTGTTGCCCATGGCCACAAAGCGTGCTTTAAATTTGACTGGATTTTTGGCGTTGGAGGTGGGCTTTTTCCTGAAGAGCCAAAGACCCCTGATCACATTTGAAGAATCAGGTCTGTCAACCAATTCCCACACCTTCTTGTCCTGCATAGCTTGAATTTCCTTCTTGCAGGCTTTCAGCCACTCAATGCCTTCGAGACCATTTACAGCTTTCGAGTACGATTTTGGGACATCTTGAGCGGAGGTGACCATGTTGCAGAGCGGAAGGACACAGTCGAATAGTTGAGTAAGTTCCCAGGAGGCACGGAGGGATGATTCATCTAAGTCATCACACACTGCTGAGGCGGAGTAATTCACAGGACCCTTGGTGCGTGCTGATCGTCTAAGAGGTGCAGTCTGATCATTTGTTACAACGGAGGGCGGGTTCTGGACAACACCGTGACACGGCTCGTTGACTGACGGTACAGGTTCAGGTATAACTTCATCAATCTTGGGGCTTACAGCATCCTCCTCATCATCGTCGGTATCAGAGTCAAAGAATTTCAGCGAGACATCAGGTAAGGTGGAAGGTGGCGTGTTCTGAGATGATTTGGTCGGAGAATCTTCAAGAAAAGGGAACGAGTTCTCATTGAATGTGGCATTGTGTGTGATGTGAATTTTCATCGATGCCAGATCATACACATGATAGTTAAAGTTGTCCTCTTCAAAACCAACTAGGACTCCCTTGGAACTCACTGGAGCGAACTTTGAGCCACGGAGTTCTTTCCTTATTAGCGAGTAGGTAAGACAGCCGTACACACAAAGGTGATCGACGGTAGGCTTTTGGAAATGCCACGCTTCAAATGGGGTTCTGTTTCCACTCAGCGACGCAGTGATAGTTCTGTTGGTTAGGAAGACGGCCGTTTGACATGCTTGTACCCAAAATCTGAGAGGGGTACCAGATTCAATCATCATGGATCTTGCTTTTGTGCTGATAGTTCTGTTTCCGCGCTCAGACACACCATTTTCTTCAGGTGTGTGGGCAGCAGTGAGATGAAGAGTGATACCTCTTTCTCGAAGTTCAGTCCCTAGGAGGTCGTTCAGGAACTCGCCTCCTCTGTCCAGGGTGAACTGTTTTATCATTTTGCAGGTTTGACGTTCGGCTAGAGCAATGTAGGCTCTGAAGATTTCGTATACAGTCTCTTTTGTTTTGTCTTTCATGAAGTAAATGTGGCGATAGGAGGAAAAATCATCACAGAAGAGGGTGTAGTACATTTCATTCTTTAATCCTTTAACTCTAATGATACCACTAAGATCAACATGAACATTTTCTAAATGACGTGAGGCTCTTGGTCTAGTGGATGAGTGGGGGATTTTGACATTTTTAGAAAGAGAACAGGTTTCACATTCATCAAGCTGAGATAATTTTTTGGGCAGTCCAAGTGCACTTTTGTGATTGCACATAATCTTAAGGTAACGATTATTCAGATGACCTAGTCGACGATGTTGAAGATTGGAAGAGTCTTCAGCCGAGATGTTGGTTGCGGTAGAGTCAGTGATTGGACTCACAGGTTCGAGTGAAACATACATCAGGTTGTTTGATGCAAATACGCCGTTGAACAAAGCCTCCCCTTTAAAGACAAGAGAGAAACAGTTTTGATTGTTCGGATGAACCAGGACTTGAACACCTTTCCTTAACATGGCACCTCCAGCAAGAAGATTTTGAGTAAGATCAGGAACATATAAGCTGTTATTAAGTTCAAACATTTTCCCAGAACCGGACTTCAGTTGGACCATTCCCGTGGAGTGTACGGCGAGTGATGCATCTCCTCCGGCAAGTTTGAGTCGTTTAGATGAATCTTCGACTTTGACCATTGAAGCAGAGGTGAAGAGCTGATCATTCTTGAACATATAGTGAGTGGCGCCGGTGTCATACAGGGCCCAGTGACCACCACTGTCGTTTACTACATTAGCGGCAGGTGTATCTTCATCAAAGACAGTGTGCGACGATTCAAAGGTGGATAAAGCAGTAGCCGAGGCACATATCTCTCCTGGTTCATCAAGATAAATGTGAAGAGAGGCAAAAGGGTTGTTGGAGGCTACAGCTACGCTGGCAGATGGGAGAGACAGTTGCTTGATACCGGTCACATTAGAGGAAGAGTTTGACGATTGTTGACGAGTGTACTGAGGACGATTTCTCTTGGCCTCCATCTGAGCAATCCAGATGTCCCTCGCAGCATGATTTTTGGGTTTTGCGAAGCATTTGTCATCGTCATGAGAGCTGGATATACACTTGTTTTCCGTGCATCGAGGTTTGTTTCGTCGATAGTTTCCACCCCCAGACTGAGCAGCGGCCGTGGAGTACGTTGATTGACTAGCTTCAACAATGGCAGGCGTGGTGAAACCCCCGTTCCTAGCTTCGTAGTCGATAAGGTACTGTACCACACCTTCTCTAGTAAGTGGAACTACATAGTTGTAGATGTTTTCTGAGACGTTTTCATTTATCCTTGATTTAACCGTTTTGATCAACTTTCGAGCAGCAGAAGCAGATGATATACGACCTTTATATTTCACGAAATCAGCGATGAGATTGTTGAATTTATCACAGTGGACTTTGAACGAGTCCGAGCTAAGAATCTTCATGTCACTGATCGCATCTTCAATGGTTTGAAGTCCGGCTTCTGATATCTTTTGGTGGTGATTTTTAAGAAAGGTCCAAATCAAGGCAGGTTCGTAGTTTATGTCATCATCATCATCGTCATCGTTCTCATCGTCAAGATCGGCTTTGTCATTGCAGTTTTGGAGTTTGAGCATGGTCTGGCATCGGGTTTTGTTGTGAGCATCCATAAGACTTAGCAACCATATCGATATGACAAGTTTGACTTTTGCGTGTTGTTCATCAGTAAGTGACGGAGCTTTGAAGTCAACTTTTGTGAGATACTTCTGATAATCAATGGCGAGGAGCACACGTTTTACTTCGGTGGCCCACACAGGAAAGTTGCCATCTGATAGCTTCGTATCGATATTGTACTTGGCTAGAAGAGACGTTAACTTCTGAACAAACTGCTGGATAGGCGTGCCAAATGTCTTTGAGTCAGTGGCTTCGGGCATTCCGTCAGATCCTGGTGTTTCAGTTCGTGATTCGGACAGCGATGAGAAAGAGTCTTCAAGTTCAGTTTCGGAATCAGTGAGCGAAGGGTCTGGTGATGAAGCAACGTGATCGTTTGACATAAACCTTTGAAGGTATGATAGTATGATGAAAAGTTGTGTCTCGAGGTGAAAGTTTGGATCTTTATACTCTCGCTACCATGAAAGAATTCAATGCGGGATCTAATCAACGCAATAGAGCTATGATGAAACCTGGACAGACAGGTGTAAGGTATGAGCTCTATGTGATAACTCGAATAGTGAAAAGGGACAGTGGCGGATGAATCAACGCCTTACCTGGACAGACAGGTGTAAGGTATGAGCTCTATGTGATAACTCGAATAGTGAAAAGGGACAGTGGCGGATGAATCAACGCCTTACCTGCAGTGATGCAGGAGAAAAGAAAAACGGAATCTTGAGCTTTCAATTCCTAACGGTCAGGCAAAGCAAAAATAGAAAAACTACTGAAAACAATATGAAGTACTAATTACCTGGACAGACAGGTGTAAGGTATGAGCTCTATGTGATAACTCGAATAGTGAAAAGGGACAGTGGCGGATGAATCAACGCCTTACCTGCAGTGATGCAGGAGAAAAGAAAAACGGAACTATTCGAGATATCGAGAAAGAGAGATTTGATGAGTACTATCCAGGAAAACAGCTAATAGAGTGATTATAGAGGAACACCGCGACTTACTCTTGAGCTTTCAATTCCTAACGGTAAGGAAGGAAGAGAGAGCTCGAGAGGCAGCGGGAATATAAGACAAATCGAACACAAGTGAAAAATTCTGACAACGGGGTTCAAACACATTCATAAAAGATAGAAACTAAAAAGGAACAGGCTACTCTCAAAAGGGAAGTAATGTTAACCTCATTCATCACTTTCCAACACACACACCCATGATACCTTCCCGATTTGGATGCACTTCTCACACTTCCTAACTACCCCCTTGACACAATTCCCTACCATCTTTACACGCAGCACACACTTAATCCTAGCTCCATCTACTTCTACAACTGCTACACTGATCACGTGAAGGACTTGAAGTGGAGATCGAAATCATTCAATAACAATGAATACTGAGAGGTATTGTGAAAAAGTATGTACTCTATCAGTGTGAAATGTTCTGACCAAGAGATCCTGCTACTTGGCACAAGACCCAGTTGAAAGAACTATGTAAGTCCACCTGTGAGCGGAATGCAATGAATCATACAGGCCGGAATGTGTCCATGAAGCTGTTTGGGGGATTATCAGCTATCCACTTGTCTGAAGTATGATGATCTAATGAGGTCATATATTATGCATTGAAATTGAGTTCCTAACCAACACATCTGGCAAGGTATCACATGATGCTCGAGGGACATATTTATCCGGGGAAACTTAACATCACAAGTGCCAGGTCGTCAGACAGTGCAGGTTCATGAAAACATGAGTCTCCCTCTATAAATACTGCATTTTGCATGGAAGGGTTGTTTTTACTCTAGCAGCACAGGTGCTTTGCCATATCTCAAAGTAACCACACTTCTAAGCTCTAATTCTCCACTGTCAAAACTTTGAAAACCTTGTTGTACCAACCAGACCCCTGAATTGATCACAGTCACATTGTAGTCAAGATACCCAAGCTTGCAGACAAAGCTCAAGGGTCTGTTAAACAACTCTCCCACACTTTTCCACCTGCTGGTACCATTGAACAGGTCTTTCTTTACCTCCCCTCAATCAATCACTAGTCACAAATCCGTTGGCTGATAGCTCATGAATTTCCAATCAAGTTCAACTTTGAATACAAAAACCTTGACATGATGTGGTTCACAGTCTACCCTTTGCAGTATATCAGAGCCCAATCACATTGTAAAACTAACACTTGGGATAAGATATGAAAAGGTGTAATTTTCATAGTCTTCATCTGACTTGATCTGGGCATTACTGAATAATTAGCAGCCTTGAATCTGGGTATGAATTTATTACAAATGCAGTCATACATATTCTCCATTCTGTCCGTAAGTGTGACAAGCTCAATAAATTCTAGTTAATTTTAGGCCATTGGTGGCACTTTGGCAGCTATTCCTTAACTTGTATGACCAATTTTGCCATTGACTGATCTCATGTTCAAAGAAGTGCTTTCAAGACTTATCAACTGAGCTAATAAAATTAAACAGACATCTGACTGAAAAGACTTTGTATGCGTAGCTAAAAACTAAATGCCCAGAAACCACAATGGAATATGCAGATAAATACTGACCAAGATGACCAAAATTATATCAGAAAAAAAGATAATCACAGATATAGAGGACATCATTTAGAGAGGAATATATATTGTAAGGAATGAGGTTGATGTTACATATAACATATATAATGCAAAAGCTAAAAAGTCTCTTATTGAGATTCTCTGCTCAAAAGAAAATAGTTACGGGACGCCAGTTCAAAGAAGCTATTTTTTACAAGTCGGAATTTATTCATCCGAGGCAAAAGGAGAAAAATGAGTCAATACGACTATGTAAGTCATTTAAGATGATGAAAAAGATTTCAAAATGTTGACTTACCCAATCTATAAACTTATCCCACTTGGTTACAGGAACAAAAGCTTTTAATCTTTCTTCCGCATCCATCTCGTCAAGCTCTCTAGTGCCAGTCACAAAGTCAATCTCCCTAGATTTGATCCTCTTTGTGCGTTTTGCAATTTTCCTGGAGAGAAAGAGTAGATGTAATGAGCTGCTTGTGCGATATACTCTGGCAAAGCATGTGATGAAAGGAGTCTTGGTATGAATACTTACCAGTAGAGGAAAAAGGCTACGAAGATAGGAAGAGTGAGGTAATCCGCAAGAAACTCTGATAGAGACCTATTCAAACCAAATGTAGAGACGCGGAGTGAATGTGAAGAAAGGCTGTGTCAACTTTCAAGTTTTTCCGTTGTGACATTATAAGGATTTATAGATCAGATGAAAGTTTCTCAAGACTGACCAGTTTCCATGTAAGAAGATATCAAATCCACACAAGAGAATGATCAATGAGATCATGATCAAGCCAAAGTAAGACATATATGGTTGAAAAGGTGCCTTGTAATGTAGGTCGTTTCGATTAAAGCCTTGATTTTTGAGTCCATTGTAAAAGAAAAGATACGACTGGGAGGTTTAAGTAAGAGCGCAAGACTCGTAAATAAGGCTACTTTTGCCGGTCTCTCGAAATAGATGACGTACCACCAGTACACTCCACCACGTGAGAAGACCGGTCATGGCGGAAAGGTTCTGGAACCAATTGAAGACTACGCTAGACTTCTGATCAAGACTCATGAACGAGAGAAGTGAGACTGAGCAAGTGGCAACAAGCGCCCAAATTGGTAATCCAGCCTTCGTGCATCGCCCAAAGATCCGGGGTGCCATTCCATCCTTTGCCAAGCCAAACAAAACACGACTGCCTCCATCTAAGTGAGAGATGATGGAACCAGGGTCAATCCAAGTTATGCTTGCGAGGGGTCAAATGAAGGTTGTACCCCGTAAGAAAGAAAAGTGAATATACGTACATAGCTTCGAACTTCCTGTGGAGAATGCCGACACAAGTATGACAACGTTGATAAGATCGGGAAGTACACGGATACCAGCTCCTTTGATTGCAATGACAAAGGGTGAAGAGGTCGCATCGCCTGTGCCACCCAATAGATCCGGGTGGTTGGATGGAACTAGTAGACCAACGATTGTTGTGCTACCAATGTAGAACACGAGAATACTGTTGCAGTACCAAGATGAAAGCGCAACGAGTGTCAGGATATTTGCCTATGTAAAGAGGACTAATGGCTGTCTTCCATTGCAACGTACCGGTAGAATACACGCGTCACGGCCTTAGGAACAGTCTTCCTTGGGTTTGCTGCTTCCCCAGCAGTGATTGCAACCATCTCAGTCCCTAAGAATGAGTAACTCGCTTGGATGAATACGGTCCTGTGAATGGTGCCATGAAGTCCAGGTGAGAGAACCGCGACCCCAAATGATTTGGATGAGATGTTGACGTACCAGAATGCTAAGAAACGACCACCCGGTCCTGGTATACCATTCAGCTGTCTGAATGGTCCAGGGGTAATGAAATTTCTTTGCAAGTACATCCGAATGTAAGAATGGTAAAAGTACCTCTTCGGTCAATTCACATGATTCCACCAACCTGAATCCTATCCTATCCTGACCAGCACCACCTGCATCAGGAGGAGATATCTATAAGTCAGTGAGAAAAGGTGGCGTATTATGATAGTTAGATGAGCATACCCAGGTCAATCACAATTCCGACAATGATCAGGACCACGACAGCTGTCACCTTCAGAGCGGCTATGAAACGCATCGACTTCGTATGAGTCGTTGCGATACTTCATGATAAGATTGAGGATACTGACCGCAGGCAAATTCCGACTAAAGCATGGCAAATAAGAAGTTAGACACAGATAGATCTTATCAATCTGAGTAGTCTATTTAAACTGACCTCTCCATACCACTTGACTCCGAAGAAGTTGAGACCACAGCACGTAACAGTAAACTATCCAGACGTCCAATTTGGAAGGATCATCAGCCAAGGTACGCCTCATGCGGGTAAAAGAGTGCGAAATGAGTCATGAGATTCACAAATATCAACCATACAACAGTATGGACTGGAATATGCCAATAGTTCATCACTATCGCAGCCGCAATAATTTCACTGGGCACAGCAATCGTCATCGAATACCTGCACAAACAATCGCCTATCAGGAGATGCAAAGATGTTGGACTGAATCAGGATAGACTCACCAGTAGTTCCATCCGACTGAGAAAAGGTAGGCATTGTAGGAATTCTGCCTCAGCTTCATCATATTTTTTGATCGATGAGGGGATTTTGGCTCAGCTCACCAGCAAAACCCAAAGCAGGGTCGACAAACCGGCAAGGATAATGTGTGAATGATCCTTAAGTTGCCGGGATTCAAAGTCTTGGTTAGTTAACTCGCCCACACATGGTTCCTAATACTCGAGCCTACCTGAGATCGGAAACATTGTGACCATTTCTCCCTGGAGCACATCAATTCAAAGGGATCATAAGGACCACGGGGCGGTGAGAATCGAATCGTTGTTTATTTGCGTGAAAATGGGCAAATCATACCAATGCAACCGTCATAGAATAAACTACAAAGCCCCTGAAGCATTTGAAGAATTCGAATTAATGATAACCACATACACGGGGAATATATCAGAGTGATGCTTACATTACAATGTACCCAAGTACCAGACCTACGGGCCCACCTTTATGAAGCGCCTCTCCCATACCCAAAAAGAGCCCCGTGCCGATGGTACCACCAATAGCGATCATGGAGATGTGTCTCTGCTCGAGTCCACGACGAACAGAACCGTCCCCAGACACCACATTTTCAGCAGGCGGCAAGTTAGGGCAAGAGGCTGATTCTTTTGTTTCGTAGATTCCGTCATTCTTCTCCTTGAATTCTGCACCGGGTTTGCCTCGGTAAATGGTCATGATGCTTAAGAACTGATGGGAAGACTCGTTCACTGAACACAGAGTGATCGGAAGGTATGTACGACTGGCACAATCAAACTGGGGAGCAAGAAAGAAAGGAAGGTAATTCGAAAGGAATGAAAAGTGGGGTTCGGTGCTCGGTTGCAAGGAGACGAGCTTCAATATATAATCTCATCACACAAGCATGAAGTCCAATTGTGAGGAGCTGTTTTGCGATTCTAGCTGTACATCGATAACAGTCAAGGCTTTTTTCGGATGAATGCCTCCAAGAGGATATTAGTTCATGTGGACTTCGTTCAGACGTGTCGCTGGAAAGGTGGAACGCCGCATTAGACAATCGGAGTAAACAATTTACGTGACCACATCCGATGATAGCGAGCCTTCCCGTGTTCGTTACAGCAGAAAGGCAATAATCGATCGATAGATAGATAAGGGATTTCGAAACAGGTTTGGGCAGATAAGCTTATAGTATAGATGCGCGCTGAGCGCTCAATTGAGCTACACTGCAGCTTCCGTATGTCTGCTTACGGGGGCACCAGCTAGCACAAGTTAGTCTATTCGGATTTCGGCAAAGCCTCCAAGTCTTCAACAATTGTCCGCATACTGAGATAGCCTCAGATAGACACTCCACGATGTCAGTCTGACGATTACTGTAGGTCACGGCACAGCCGACGAGACTCCTACGCTTTACGTGCGGAGGTCCCTATATCAGGATTTGTCAGGACATCGGTACAACCCAGGGGTATGTTGGATGTGTTCGAGTGGGGGGGAGTGCTACAAACGAATCAAAAGAGCAGCCGAGCAAGTAGGTGAACAAGGTTTCTGTACTGGTCTCTGAAACAAGACCAACTCAGTCTTCAAACAAATCTTGACCCGGTCATCCTATTGAGCTCCAATTCTTGATCAGAAAGTCCAAGCTCACAACGCTCGAAGTTGTATCGCTCACTTGACGGTGTGGAATCATCAGCTGTAGCATGAAGGCTGGGCAGCTCAACTATTTCGTGCATTGAGTGTGTGACGTCAAGATCGAGTTCGAAGGATGGTTTCCATCGTATAACCGTTATCAGTGGTATCGCAGTTTTCATGATTTACTGCGTCAACGCGATTAACATGACGACTATCTTTGAATAGCACGTCTCCGGCAGACCCCAAATTGAGGATCGCAGTTGAAGATCGAGGAGATATGTACTTGGGATGCGTCACAGCTGTAGTTGGCAATCAAGCTTATCAGTGACCTAGCAGCTGGCAATGAAATCGAGTTGCGCCAAAGTGTGTCAAGCTCCTATTGATGCTGCAATGAGCGAAATATGCTGTAATCGAACATGGTTGCATTGAATGCAAGTGTAGTGGAACTTACTTTGCACAGCTTCTCACCCCCTCGGCAAAATGAGTCGCATGTGTCCCCTCAGATGGCCACATCTGCAACATGACTTTGCAAGACTTGGTTTAGCTGAGATGAACACGCATACACCCTCTTCAAGGGCTTCTGCCCTCTGTGACCCTCCCCAGAAATCTTCCTAGGACTGAACCCGGCCCAATGTGAAGATAAAACAGACTTTTGTTAGGCCTGCAATTTGCCTTCTGACAGATCAACTACATTAATCTTGGATCCTTTAAGCTTCACTCTGGATTGACTGTAAAACGAACCACGAATCCACAGACTAAGCACCCTGTATGTTGACTTTGGGTCCAGCCCACACAAGTGCACAACAGCTCGGTCATATTAAATCACTTTTCGGTGATCTTCAAGAAAAGCTTTCTTGAGTTCTTCATGGCATAGCTACGAGGCCATCATCACGTCTATCCATAGCAGGCCCAGTAAGCTTCAACTAGCTTCCATGACCATTGGCAACAAGTGGCTCTTCAGTATAATTCATAACTCAACCCAGGGAGAAGATTCGCGCCTGAAGCAGCAGATTTCCATGCTCTTCGATCTAATATGACTGATCTATGTGCTCCGGTTTCTTTTCATGATTTGATACGCAGTCAGATAGCTGTGTCTACCGTAAATGCTTAGTAAAAAGGTGCGAGTAACGACATGAGAGAGTGACTATGAAACATCACACATGTACCACTGAAGTTGAAACATATCTTCTATGTTTTGACGAAACTCTAGCGGCCTCTTCACCCTAAAGCTCGTCTCTCATTACAATCCAATCGTCATTTAGCTTGCCATCCTGAGCAGATGTATTTGGATCAATCCCATCGTGACAGGCCGCTGGCGAAGCTATCTTGAACCAATACTCGCATTTCTCAGGTTCCATGACCGAGTAAAATAGGTTCTTCGTTCCACATTTGAGATCGACCTATTGAACAAAAACATCTTTGATCAACTATTTGGAATGTTGTCTATATTTGTCAAGAACTTACTTTAACACTTCGTTCAGGTCCGTTCTGCGTGGCAAGAGTTACGATTGTGTCAGACTCTCAAACACTAAATTTTGCTCAGATAGTGAATCAGTAGACGCCTTACCCAGCACTTTGCCCCGTTGAGGTACATTTGCTTGCCGTAATACTCATCGGAGCCTTTGGCCGCGTCCGTGTTCCAACTCACAAAGTTCCTGTGGATCCAAGCTGTAAGCATCATTGTATGATCTCAGGATGAGTTGATGACGAACCCGAGGAGCGTTTTACCACCTCCAGTATTTTTTTGATATGCGCTTCCGAAGAAGCAGAGTTCATAAACATAACTAGACAACCACAGGAAAGTCAAGGCAAAAATCAGTCACGCCAATCGCCAAAGATATCGTACTGTCTATGGATGACGCACTCTCCGTAAGGGTACTCTAAACAGGTCTGATCTAATTTTTTGAACTGCCAGTCAGCACCCCAGTCTTTCATCAGACTTTGCTTGGATTCTTCAATTTGTTTTTGAGCGTTCGTGACCGCAGATTCGGCGGCCTGATGTAATGACCTCGCTTTGGCTACGTCGGGTCTGATAACTTCGCCATTATCCTGTGAAGATGACCCATGGGGAAATATCCCGACTTTACTCATGGCATCGACCAAAAACTTGCGCAACTTATCGTAACTAGGCTTGAGTGAATCAGGCAAGTATTCTTCCATGTTGACTACTAGAAAAATCGGTGATCAATGTCTTCGCCATTCAGCAATTGTTGGAGAGAAGAAGAGCGCCAAGTGGCCGTTCCGTCTATAAGCGGATTTGAGTCACTCACAGATAGATGTGGAGTCCAGATGGCTATGATCAAATCCCAACTCGTTTCGAGCGCTAGTAATGAGAGCCACCACATCCTGGTTTGCCATATTATTCAGTTGACTCTGCTCCAATTCAGGTGCTGGCTCTCCGCTTGACGCAGGTGTGACTTTCCACTCTTCGTAACCCTTCACAGCACCTTTCACCGCCATGTCTATTCAACGTAAGAGTGCAATATCACGTCGATCAGAAGGTGTTTCCTGTCATTTGGGAGGATGAGGGAAAAGCTATATACCTTGGTAATTTGGATTGTAACCTCCCTAGGGACGAGCAAGATGGAAGGTTCCGTCACCGGTATGAATATTGAAGGAATACCTCGAGTCACTTACTTTCAAATCCGATAAAATGTGATCGAGCTGATCGAGGTCCTTCTTGAGTTTTTCATTTTGCTCTTTTAGCCCTTTGATTGCACTTTGATACTCAACCATTTTGCGATAGAGCTCAGTCGCTTTCAGCTTGTTTACCTCAGTTTCTGAAATTCGCTCGACTCTTTCCTTTTCCGCTTTTGCGTCTTGTTCCTTTGCTTTTAAGCTGATCAACTCGACATCAAGCGATTTTACAAGCTCTTGGAGTCGAATCTTTTCTCTTTGCCCAAAGAGAATGTAATTCTTCCGTTCACCATTTCCTGCTTTAAATTTCCTAACCAGACTATCAAACTTCTTCGTGTACTCAGAACTTACAGCAGCACAGCGATTGGGGCACTGGACGTCATGATTATCGGCTTCATCAGATCCATCACAGCATTCAGGTTCGCATATTCCATCATTTACTCTAGATATCCGAACGCAAGCTGGGATATGTCCTTGATTTGGACATTGAAAGTATCCTTTTGGGCATTCGGAGGATTGAAGAGATACCATTGGATCGACGCTTATGACACCCCTCGTTGTCTCGCAAGATCCAGTCCCTTGGGAGTCGACCACGATGGACCAGTCCGCGTTGACGGGAACAGCAGCGTTGTAAATTGTTAATACACTTGCACGTTTGCCTAACCCAGTCCCCTTGGGGGAGTTTATGGATGATGCTAAACCTGAAGAGTACTCAAAGAAAAGTCCTTCGGCGGCACCCGAAGCTTTGACACATGTAGGCTTTGCTGGTAAACCCAAAATGATAACCTTTTGAATATGGATGTCGCTAGTTTTCTTGGACCAGGCATTATCGGGACTGAAAGCTGCCAAGGCGCTTGATAAGTTAGGATGAGCATCGCGAGCGGCCGTACCAACCGCGTCGCCAGAGAACAATTTCCAAGTCTTTGATTCGAGTTTTTCTGCTGCAAAATAGCGATAGATAAATTGACCTCGTTCATGATCGAAGCTCTCGCCATCATCCAGGTAAAGTGTACCACGAGCACCTCCGTCTTTATCAAGTGCAACGATTAATGTGATGGGATCTTTTTTCATCATTGGCGCTGCCCTTCGGATCAAATCACGTCTGGTCAAAATATGACCACCACGCAAAAAGAGCGGCAAAGTATCAAGAGGCGCTGGAAACTTGATTCTCTGCCAGAAGAGGGCCTCGACCAGAAGAGGTCGTAAGTGAAATAATTATAATATGGCTGCGAGGTAGAATGACATCAGCTTGATGAAGCTTGATACTTTCACTAGTGATTATCACTATACCTGAGCATCCGCAAGATAAACATCCGTTTCGGTCTGGGCCTTCTACCGTAAGAGGCTTCACAATTAACCGGGAGGAGCCAACATAGAACTGATCATCAATCGCAAATCCACCCTTCATCATCTGGGAACATCACGTATTGTGGGCTGAAAGTCCAGAAATTAGCCCAAAGGGTTCTACGGATCCATGAAATTTGACGTCAAAAGCACTAACACAGTCATAGGAACACCTGTGAAAGTGTTTTCAAAGAACGACGTGTACCACACTGGTAACAGTGTATATCTAAGTTTGATCATACCAACCATGTAACCGCGGAATGGCTCATCGAAAAGATATGGCTCCCTTCGTTTTGTGTCGATGTGAGCGTGCGCCCGGAAGAACGGGAAGAAAGCTCCTGCCTGATACCATCTGACTAACATCTCGTTTGAAGGGTTACCGAAAAAGCCTCCAACGTCGGCTGATTTACGGAATGATGATCAATAATTTAATTGCAAACGGGTTCCACGAGAGGCGAGATCAGGTGAATAGACGGACACACCTCCATTAAAAGCCATCCCAGCGATTGCGTTGCTCAGCAGCATAGGTATCGAGACTTTGAGGTGATCCCAGGTACCCATGTTGTCACCTTGCCATATCGCACCGTAACGCTGACTACCGGCAAAATAGGACCGGGACAAGACGAAGCCACGCATTGGCGGTGACGTCCTTTCTTGCAATCCGCGGTTAGATTGATTGTGCTATGGAGAGGTAAAACACGTATGAGATTTGCCGCCAACACATCTCACATCAGGGGCCGACACGTACAGTCAACATCCCATTCAGGTTATGAACATCCCGATGTTCCCAACCCCCGAAGTGGATGTTGTCACGAGGTAGGGTGATCTCAGGTGCGTTGAAGACGGAAGGCTTTTCATGCGGGGTTCAAGCAAATGTAAGCTCGATATTTTCGATATGCACGCCACTGATCGAAGCTCATGAAGTACAAACCTCGTTCATATCTAATAGTAGAAACAATACATCAGTCCTCCTGAGCCTATAGAGATGAGAGACACAACATACCTAGCCAGTTATGGACATTAACAGTACTCTCTCTGTACTTATTGAATTTGAATAAACCAGCCCACCAGTCCCATGTCTTGGGGTTGAAGTAATCAGTCCAACTTGACGATCCGGTCCAACACCAACCTTCGTATTCGGATCCATCTGGAAGCTTCACAAGAACGTCGTGTTCGACAGCTTCCTTGTAGACATAGTAATCTGAAGACCGTTTGAGATGCGGATCGACGATTGTAACGAGCTGGTCAACATACATCTATGGTCAGCAGGTCAGCTGTGATACTTGAGGTTAAAGCCTCACTAACCTTGCGACCAGTTGCTTCTAGAGTTGCGATCATCTTCAAAGGGTCTGGGAACGCTTTCTTGTCCCAGACAAAGTACTTGTGTTCCTCAGCGTATTCGATATCGAGCCATATGACATCCAAGGGTATATCATGCTTATCGAAATTACTGATCACATCCAATAGATCCTCTTGACTGACGTAATTCCATCGACATTGGTGGTGGGCTATCGAAAAGTAAGGTGGCATGAGGGTGGTGCCGACCAGTGAACCAAACGAAGAGAAGATATCTCTCGAGCTGGGACCCAAGAAAAGAAAGAGGTCCAGAATCCCACTTTCGCTCATCCAATGTGTGGTGGTGGTGATAGCATTGGGACCTTGATCGATACCAGCTTTCTTCTGAGCTTTGCCTTGCTTCCATGTTCTCATAACTTCAGCTTTTGTTGGTATTTTTTCGACATCAATCCAGGTTTCAGCCGCATTGAGCCAAAAAACTCCGACAGTCGATCCAGCTCGGTGAGCTTTCATGAAAGGGATCGCGCCATAGAGAGCCATTTCAGAATCGGCTTCGTATTCGAAAACGTCCAAGTTCCATAGACGATATGGATCGGTGTAGGCCTCCTTATTTGCCGAATCGGTTCCGCGCGTAGTTTTCAGAGAGAGTGGGGAAGCATGTTCTGGAATACCATAAACATGTTGATAGCCAGGGAAAGTTATATCCAGACTGAGGGATTCCGGGCCTATAGTAATTTAAACTGACCACGTTAGCTGGGTTGATGTATAGGCCTTGGACCTTACTAACCTTTGGGTTTGCTGTCAGTCCGCCCTCCGAAGTTCTCGTCCCACATCCCCTCTTCATCCACATCTTTGAAACCGGGATGAATGAGGTCGATGGGAGGAGCAACTTTACCATCGCTGGATTCGTGGATATTCAAGCCGTCCTGAAGTGCGGCAGGATCTTGACCCGCTGACTTCTCACGAAAGTGCTCCATGTTGAACAGCCCTCGTTCATTGAGCACAATGTGAGGTACACCATCTTTATAGAGCGTGACGAGAAGCGGGTGGTAGCTTAACGAGAACCGGTAGAGATGATCGTGTTCTAAACTCTGACCCCAGTCTACCACTGTTTGTTCGGTTTCGATATTTATTTTCAAGTCATCTTGATTCGTCAGGGAAGGTTGTCGAAGTAAAGTCCAACGATCAGCTTCGTTGTATCGTTGACGTAAACCCCCAACTTGATCGACTTTGATCCTCATCGTGCCTTCGCTGTCGCTCACAAAGCTGGCATTGAGTGCAAAACTAATATGAGGATATAGTTCATTGGTCAAGAGAGCACGCAGGGTCCGTTCTTCAGCCATCCAAACTGGTGGCTCTGCAATCCTATAAGGTGATCGCCATGAAGGAGAAAATTCGGCAGATTGAGCTCGAGTGGCTCGGGCCCGGTTCCGTTTACAGAAGCTTGCTTGATCGCATGTTTTGAAATCGCCGCGCCTCACGGAGAGAGCTGGGAGGATAATCGAGCACAAGTAAGTGACTACAAGGAGAATTGGATGTTTTGAAAGGGTGATCATGCTGATAAATCCGACTTATGCACTCGTGGGAGGCTATCTTCATAAGTAAATCAATCTGCCCAAGCTATCAGAAGGAAATGAGATCGAGTCAGTGATCTTAGAAAAGCATTCATCATATTATCCAATCACTCACCTGGGTAGAGCGACCGCAAACGAAAAGTTCAATGCCAGTAGTAAGTCGTGAGAATAAGTTTGCTTTGAACCTTTCGATGTGTGATCACTTGCACCTACATATACATAGTACAACCACAAGACCTAGAGACCTTAAGTTGGCCAGCTACATATCTAATTATCATCATTCATCACCACTCAAAGTATTCCACTGACTTCAAAACTCACAGCGCTTCGTCTGATGTATCGTCACGGTCCATGTCAGTACAATTCCTGGTGGTGGTCATGGGACCTGCGGAGGACTCGTGTTAAGTTAGCCCTCCCCGATACTTCTCCCTAGAAACACAACTTACGCCTTTTGGATCTAGGCGTAGTGTTCCATCACAAAATTGCCTTTCATTGATTGAAGGATGCGTGCATTCCATCCATCCATTTGCAAATGTTAATCTACTTTCATGTTTCGACTGCCGAGGATGTTGCAAAATGTTGCATCTATTGTACGGGATCTGATGCCAAGCAGCCGCTTTGCTCTTCTGAACTTCCCAATATTTCACCTCTATCTCCAGGAGCTCGTAGTGCTTATTTGTGCTGGAACTACTACAAGTACCTTTCATCCCTTTGTTGAGCAAATATTGGAGCAAAGCAAGCTGAATCAGCTGATGGATGCATTGAAGATCTTGACAAGCTGATTGCAACAATCTACACAATGGTGGAGACATTTGCTAATTTATGGGCAACTACATCCTCAAGGTGGATATTGCTGCAACGAAAGGACTAACCAAGAAGAGTAATTCTTCCAAAACTATCAATTCCTTAACTTCAAGCAAGGAACAGCTGAAGAAGGCTATTGATCAAATCACAAATATAGTAAACTACCAGCCTTTGTGGCCTTTCTATCTTCTAGCACCAAGGGAATAATGATATATCCCACCAACATACAAGCATATACTCCTCTATGGACCGCACACTTCCTACTGGTGACCTACCACTTAGCTCACCACAATGAATCAATCATGGAGCCAATATGGCAGCGGAATCAATCATATATAGCTGGCTTTTTGAAAACGCCATCCAATCAACAGAAAAATGGGTATCACAGGAGGACCGTGGAAAGCTACTAGCCTGTCTGACAAAAAATGTCAGGTTTTGACCTTTCAAAACTCAGATGCTTCTGACAAAATTGGTTGGGTTTTGGTTTTAGAAATTTTTGACGAGAATGCTTCTGATGAAACATGTCAAGGAATCTGGTGGCCCGTCCCATGCTTCTGAGGAGAAAAGGAAGGTTTTGCAGGGATTTGGACATGTGCACAGGGAAAAACACAACTTGATTTGCATGGCCTGTGGTTGCAGAACAGAAACTAGCTGTACTGGCTGTACACTGACTCTGTATAGGTCAGTACTGTCAGTACACTAGGGTTTGAAAGATTTGTAACCATTGTGTGATTTCACCATCTGCTTCAACAATGTTGTTTTTATATGTCAAGAACATACTCACCTTATAAGAACATACCCAGCAAAAACATCTAAATATAAAGATATGCAAGCAACTTGTATAAGTACCAAACATTCCCCTTCTGTTCCGGTCCACCTGACATCACACCGCGGGAATCAATCAGTCTGAAACCCAATTGGAGAAAGTTGCGGTGACAGGGTCTGCAACTTTCTCCAATTGCTAATTGCGTTTGCAATTGGTTTGCTGTACACCCTCGAGAGAACACATTCAAAGCTAGTAGCAGCTAGGCATGTGATAGCACTTCCAAATGGTCTTGATACATTGTGCCAGAGGATGTATCCGGTGTGATTTAACATTGTTTTAAAAGAAATGATTTGCTTAGGACCCCGGTACATACTCCCTGTAAAGGGTACTTATTTTTGGTTAGTACTCCTGAGAAGTTTTGTCACCTTTTCAAAAGAGACAACACTTGCCGTGTCTGATCTTAAAACAAGGCTCTAATATTTTACAAAGGGGTAAATTGAACAAGGTTGGAACACGGCACAAAGCCTGATAGCTCACAACCATGACGGTATTGATGATGTACAACAAAACAATTGCAAACGCATTGCAAACACAATTAGCGATTGGAGCAAGTTGCGGACCCTGTCACTGCAACTTTCTCCAATTGGGTTTTGAACCCATTGATTCCCGCGGTGTCAGGTTGCTTTTGGTACTTTCCCAGTTTGGTTTGTGATTGTACATCTAATTTTCAATCACTGTTTTTACTGCTGCCAAATCTGGCTTGTAGCACAGACAGAAGCGGGAGGCAGCGCAAAGCGCAGCCGCTCCGCTGCCCAAGAAGCTCAGACCCGGGGTGCCCCAAATTTGGCTGGTGCGCTTTCCACTGATAAAGTCAGCCCCAAATTTCCCCACACTAACCTACAATCTGCCCCATTCACCACATGCAAACCATCAATCCAGCAAGCCACCACTCAAGCTTTAGATTGTTTACGTTTTTATTTTTCATCCATGCCTATTTGAAGGAACCTCTTTTGAACGACACCAATCTAATTTATCACCAGAGATCTCAAGCCATGGAGTTTCCATGTCCAAGCATCTCAATATTACTGTATACCAACCATCAATTCGTACCCTTGCCACCGTGGACCAAACAAATCTTTTTGGTATAAAGGTATGTTCTTAATCATTGATAATTGTTGATCTGATTGTCTATTTACCTTTGTCTTACTTGATAACCATCAAGTCCAACTTGAATCCAATAAACCTCACTCAACTCTTAATTCCACATCTGATCATGGCTAACAAGCAATCTACCCTCACTTCATTTGTCTTGCCTGGCTACAAAACCAATGATGTCACTGTCGCACCACCTTGTTGCTTGTCTTGCATTGTCACACCAGCTATATGAGAGCCTGGTATGGTTGTTCCACCTTCTGATTCTTGCCATGGCTATCTTGACTTAGGACTAGGTAGGGATGTGAGAGACAAACACATTCATTGGTGTTGTGAAAGCTCCTCACTACCTGGAGCCTGAGGTCTAGATATTGGGTTACCAGCTAGTTGCTTGGTTCCATCATTCCAGGTCAGTTTATCTTTTCAAACTCTCAATCAATCAATAACTGATCATTTCTCTTACTTATGTTGTTTATTGTGTATCATCCCATAGGGCACTGGAACCTCAAACCAAACCCAAAACGGAGAACACTCTGTCTTGGTCACAGATTGCGGGATAGGCACCTCGGTTGTTAATTTGGGTCCACCGCGCCAGTCAAGGGCTCCCACCAGCTCACAAGTAATTCATTCATTTAGTTTCAAGTTCATGAATTTATGATTCTGATGACTTCATCAATCTTGTTCTTTCCCGATTTAGGCCACCGGCACCTACCAACCTTGAAACTGAAGACGCTCTGCCTTGGTCTCAGATTGCGAGATAAGTAACTTGAATACAACCAGCCGACCGCGCCGACCAAGGGCTCAGACCAGTCAAACGTCGGTTGAAAGAGTATGTAGGTCATTTCATCCAGATCATTGGTTGTCCAAATTGATTGTAATGATTGTTTTTTATTATTGAAACCCTGTAGGACCCTTTGGCACCACCCATAGTGGACCTAGCACAGGATTCAGACAAAGACAATCAACATATTCAAAAACCAAAACGTAATCAACCAGCTGAGAAAGAATATGTCATCCCATATGATTTTTTTGGCAGACCCAAACTTGGAGTGAATCAACATGGCAAACCAGATGTGTGTATAGTTCAATCTCCCCTATCACATGAATTTCTTCTGTTTGTTTCCCATCTTCTATCCTATTTTGTTCTCTTCCAATATTTTTCTTTCTTTCAATCGTATGAAACATAGCTGACATTCAAATTGTTTGTAGCCACCTGAAGGACCACCTCTCTCCTACACTTGTATCTGGTGCAGCAAGATAGTTTGGATCAGCGGAAGTTCACAATTGAACCTCAAGACTGACCCAGATGGCAGAAACACACCTGGTAAGTCTAGTGTGGGCTGTTTTTGTTGTCAGCAGGCAATGTTGGCCTGTGCCAAACTTCCTCCCACGGTTTCACAACTGCGTGCTCAGCGTCTTCAGCAAAACCAGCAAGGCTCACTTTCTGCTTTTGTCATCCCAGCGCCTACTTTTTCCATCAGGACTCTCAACCAATGCCTCGCCGTTTGGCAAGTATCTCAAGCTTTACCTTTCAAGTGTATTGAAGATCCAATGCGCAAATTGATTGTTCATTGGCTCCGACCCAATGCCCGCGTATTTGGGCGTAAGTGGGTGGCTGATGAGGCAAAACACTTGTACTTATCACTTTGAGGGTTGGTCACACTGCAAAAATAATGTAATTTTCCAAGGGGAAAAATGATTGAGTTTAATGCACAAAATGATTAATAATGCAGAATTGATGCATTTTTAATCATTTTGTGAAATAAATGTGATCATTTTTCACCTTGGAAAAACACATTATATTTGCAGTGTCATTGATTAGGAGATCAAGGTGGGTGGTATTCAATATAAATTGATTTCAAAAGTTATGATCTGGATGATAACTTTATCTCACATCTGTTTTGTAGAACATGACGAGCAATTTTTGTCTCATACAAGTAAAATCTGTGTTATAGATCTTGAAAAGGGGGAAAAAGAGCAAAGGGTCCTCTATAGAAGTTGAAATTGACAAGCAGTTGGACCAAAGTTCCACGCACACACGTGTAGGTGTCATCCCATGCCTCAATACACATGTAGGTGTCATCCCATGCCTCAATACACATGTAGGCGCTCAAATTTTACGCCTACATTACTTTTTTCAGATGTAGGTGCTTTTCTTGAGCACCTACATGTGGTATTTTCAATGTAGGCACTTGAATATCAAACCCACATTCCGGTTTCAAGACGTAGGCGCTCAAAAATTATGCCTACACGTCAAATTCAAAAGTAGGCATAACCGAAAGACACCCACATGGGGATTTTGACATGTAGGCGTCATTTTTGATGGTTTCCAGCGCCTACATCCTAAATGTAGGTGCTTTTCTGTGCGAAACACCCATTTAGGCGTTGTTTTGGCAGGGACTACATGGATTATTTGTGGCCTGCAAATAGCAATGGCCTTTGTTTATTGTTTTTGTTGCTGTTGAGACGTGAGTGTGAGTTGTAAGGATTTTCTTGTAAATCAGTTGTGACTTTTGAATTTTTTTATGTTTTAATATTTTTAATATTATGTCTGCTTAGAGCATCCACTATTGTCTTGGTGAATGGCCTTGGTACGGTAAATTTTACTGAAATTTACCGTACCAAGCCTCAAAATCCCCAATTGTGTCCAAAGTACAGATCTGTACCAACAGAATCACTCGAAAATTGGTAGGAGTCCAGTGAATTTACTGGACCTCTACCAAATTGGTATCTGCAAAAGCAATGGACTTCTACCGAGCCGCAGCACTCCCAAAATTCAAAGTCCAACTAGGTCCAACTACACTTCCCTTTTTCTGCTCTTGATCCGCATATGTACACACTAAACTTCACATTCTTACTCTCAACTTGCATACCTATCACATCTTGGTACTGCTCACCAGCTTTATGAAGTCTGCCTGTTTTCAAATTGTTTGTTTTAATTCTTTCAAATTGTTTGTTTTCAGATCAATCGTCTTACAACCAATTGTTTTCAAATCTTTTTGTTTTTTAAATCAATTGTTCCCAAATTGATCATTCTCCAAATGATTTTTTTTGGATTGCTTGTTACAATGATACTGTTCAAACTGTTTGTTCTCAAGTTGGGGTGTCAACCCAAGTTGAGCAATGACCAAAAGTCAAAACTTGAGCGTTCATGTTTGCCGTTTCTTTTACAGAATGCACAATAGTGGGACACAGTCATTTCTGTACAGTATCTACTGTATAGAATAGCACTTACCAAAAACAATAGTGGATTTCCACGTTCCAGCACCTAATTTACTGTACTGCAAAATCTGTACTATAAAATTTACTGAAAAATTTACTGAACCATAGCGGATGCTCTTAAGGCGTGAGTTTTCTTACTCTATAGGCTGACAGTAAGGTGGTGTTCACTTAAGCCAGATTTCAAGAAATCACATTTTGCTTGAGAGCTTCTCTACATGTAGAAAACTGTTTTTTTGAAATCTCAAATTTCACATCTTGTGAGAATTTGTGAAAAAAGAAGCAAGAAAGTGTTTGCTTGTTCAATCATCAAGGAGAGGATCATGGAAAAGCAAAGTGATTGTATGATCACTTTTCTATGATCCCATCTACCACCTTGATCTTAGTTTTTTGATCCCTTGCTTCATAAACTACTCACATTCAAACTTGTCTCATTTTCAAGTCAAAGAAAGAACACAATGAAGAAACCACTCTAAATCCTTTCAAGAGATGACCCTTGCATCAATAAGCCACTTGGTATAGAAAAGTATCCTATAGTAACACAATTTAATCTAACATCAGAACGGCAACATTGGTAAAGACTGATTTTGATTGACAAGAATGAGATGAAGATGATGACAGGCAAGAGAGATGGGTGGCACTGGAAGTAAAAGTTGTTGAGAGTTATCAAAAAAACAGACGTTCAAATAAAAAAAGCAAGTTCATATTAATGAGCACCAATCTGAAAAGAGATAGAAAAATATAATTTAATAGATGCAATTAAATCAACACAAGCAACTCAGAAATGGTGCAGAGAAAATTGCAGTTTGTTCAAGTTGAAATTGATTGAGGTGTTGTTCAGGGTGGGTCTGGAGGAGGGAAATTCAAAAAGTCAAGTTGATTGAGTGGAGTCAATGAGTCAATTCACAATGAGATGAGAAGGGTAGTGATGGTGGTGAGAGTATGTGGAAGATGGCTTTGGGGGGTGTGTGGGATGGTGAATGGTAAGTTGGCCAGGTTTGACAGGTTCTGTACGGTGAATGGTGACTTTTTCAAAACTTGGGAAAAAGGATGTGACAAAAGGAAAAGAATAGAAATCACAGGATGTGATTTTGATCAAGAAGAATTTGCTACAAGCGCATTCTTGGAAAGCAATGAAAAAAGTCTTTTTATAAGCATTCTGTAATTTCCAGGATGCTTTCAATTAAGGAATCAAACACATTTCACAGAATGTGATTTCTCAACACTCAAGAATGTGATTTTCCACAAAAAAGTGCTTAAGTGAACGCGGCCTAAGAGCGCGTTCACTTAAGCGCATTCTGGTCGAAAATCACATTTTACACATTACAGAAATCGCTTTCTGTAAAAAGCGTTCGATTTGTTATTTACAAGCATTCTGTAATGTACAGAATGCTTATAAAAATCAATTTTTACCTCGATTTTTACAATTCGGTAATACCGAATTTTTTTCGATTTTTCCCCTAATATCGCATTCTGACTTGTTCAAAAATTTTAACAAGTCCCTCTTCACTGTACGGATGGTCATAGACCTATCCAAACCCATCACCTCACCTCCAAAACCATACCCCAAAGCCGCTCAGCTTCTTCGACTTTGTCAACCCTCTCACCATCAATCAACAGTCCTATCTTTTTCATCTCACCGATTAATCATCTCACCCATCCAGCCACCTCCGCCATGTCCGATAACGACTCAAACACCAGTGGTACTGATCAACCATCAACATCAACCAACATCGTTCCGATAAAAACAAAGTCAAAAAAAACAACAACACCAGCTTTGGCAGTCAAACAAATTAAACCGAAAGCAATCAAATCAACAAATAAAAAGAAATCAAATGATAATAATCAATTAAATGAAATCAAAGAGATAGTGAAAGATAAGAATAAATTAAATGAAAAGAACAAATTAAATCAAATCAAAGAAGGAGTTGAAGAGAAGCAAGATGCTGATGATGATGATGATGATGAAGTTGTAGTCAGTGGTGGAAATTGGGTTCATAAGTGCACTGTTTGGTTGATTGATGAGTACTGTCATCAAGTCGATCTTGGAGGTGGAAACGATGGAGGACTCAAGTCGGCGGCGTGGAAGAAAGTCCTCGAAGCTTACAACAAGCGATGGAAGACTAACGAGTCATTGACTCGTTTAAAGAACCATATTCAAACCGTATGTATCTCATTCTTTCATGTATTCTCCTCCTTTTTCTTTCTTCTAAATGGATCCTGATTTGTTTCTACCGACTTTCTTTCCATCAACAACCCAGCTTAAGAGGACTTACCGGGCGTTTGATAAGATAATTGGTGTTACCGGAGGTCCTGGGACCGATACCACGACCGGTATAGTGCATGCTGATAAAGATTGGTGGGAGGAATGGATTAAAGTCTTAAGTTGTTTTTTTTCGAATTTCATCCTTTCATCGTTTCATCTTCTATATAATAAATCATTCATTGTCATTGATGTTTTCATCCCATCTGTTATGGTTGTTATAGTATGGGAATAAGGATGCCGTGCCTATCAAGAACAACGGCTTTCTGGCTTATAACGCTGTCACAAGGATCATGCCCCCGAAACACTTACGAGCTAATGGTAACGACGGATTAGGAACTCAGAGCAAAAAAAAGAAACAACCACCAGCGGCTGATGAAGAAGACGGAGATGATGAAGAAGGTATTTCTTTTTTTTCTTTTGACTCAGTAGGATGGATGCAAATTTGACATCTGTCCATTCAACATAACAGACTCCATCGCATCACCTTCCGAGTCGATCAAGATGGCGGCTACCGATCGAAGCAGTGACAGTATGGAGACCGAGACCAAGGAGACGCCTGTTATCAATGAAGACGTTGGAGATAAGGATGATGGGGCTAGTAGTGAGGCCGATCCTCCCCCACAATCACAAAAGGGTAAATCTGTTGTTAAAAAAGTATGATCTCATCATTATATATAATCAAAGTAATTTAAAAAAATGTACTAACTGGTTTTTGATTTCAAATATAGAATCACCCTTTTGCAAGGCATCTAAAAGCTGCTCAGCGCCAACTTGCAGAGGAGGAGGAGGAGACTCCTGAGTTGAAATTTGTACGTAGCAAGAGGGTTCCGGTCGACAGAGACGCATCGACATCAACCAAAAAACGATCTCGCACCACTGGACCTAAACTCATCTCCCAAGCAATCGATCGAGCTGTTGAATTAGATGAGCAAGGTGAGAACGATCGAATTAAGATAGCTAGGATGAAGTTAGAACAACACCCAAAACGAAAAGAGGCTATGGACATCTTCAACCGTGGATGCCAGAAAGAACTCAAGGCAGAACATATCATTCAAGTAGCAAATAAATTGAAGGACGATGACACAGCCTCTTTCTTCTGTCACATGGCTAAGAAGTTTCAGTGGGAATGGTTGATAAATGAAGCTGGGTTATCCGAATTTTATCAGGACAAGTAACAGTATTTCAAGCTTTATCATCAAAACTTTATCAGATTATCTTTGTTTATTTTTTTTGTATTTTCATTTTACATTATTAAGCTCACTTCTCATTGCAAAAGCGTTGTACAAGTCATTATATATATATAATTAATAGGTTCAATTATACATATAAATACATGTATGATACTATTATCATTTGTTGCAACTGCTAAAAATATAACTGCTAATTTAAATATTAAAACATTAATGATGAGATTCATAAGATTTGAGTATTAATCAGATAACTGCCGATTTGAGTATTTAAGATAAAGATTTGTTAATAAGATAACTGCTAAGTTGAGTATTTAAGAGATGATATTCAAACACGTCGGCGAGCAGCAGCAGCATGTAAGTAGTCATCAAACATTTGTCCTGCAAGACGATCTCGCATATCATTTGCTTGAGTACGCTGTGCAGGGGTGGGTGCAGCCCAATTGGGGTTGTCGTAATCAGCAGCCATTCGAGTTTCCAATCTCTCTTTTAATGCATATTCTTCGTAGAATTCGTCTTCTCCGGATTCAATCCGAATGATATTATGTAATACACAACATGCAATGACGATCTTAACTTGAGTTTTATAAGGGAATGATGGCATTGAGGCTAATATAGGAAATCACATCTTATTAACGCCAAATATACGTTCAATAATGATTCGGAGCGCTGAATGACGGTGATTGTAGAGTTCCTTGGCCGTCTGTGGTGCAAGATTACATTGTTTCCACTCCTGAGATGGTATCGGACGGATCGATACGGTTTTAGAATCCTGGAACGTTCGCGTATCCCAGCGTCTGCTACGTAGAAGTGGCCTACATCAACCAAAGATTAATAGGTATGAGCAATAGTAATCATCAGTGTAATAAAACTTTGTCACCTTCTGGAACAACAAAGCGTTCTTGTTCGAGTGCTTGATGCAGCACTCGAGCATCGGCATATGAGCCTTCCAAACCAGCGTAGACAAACGTTAAACAGCATATTAAACGAGCAGCCTGCTAAAACGTTTTGGCTGAGATCGCCTTTTCGATTTTGATGAGCAGATTGACGATCGGCCGGAACAATGCATGGTATGTGGGTGCCATCAATAGCACCCACGCACTTATCGAAGTAAGGAGTCATGCGTGGATTTGTCCTGATTTCCTTGGGACAGAGCTCGTTGGCGAGTGGCTGAACTATATAGATGGATTCGAGTGATGCAATGGCATCACAAACTTCATTGAAGTATCTGCTGATCATAGCTCCAGAGCGTTGGAACCGTTCACCAGCCACTCGATTAGATCCTGAGTTGCCAACAATATATAAGAATATCATCACTCACTCTTCCACCGTGACACTCCTGTTGCGGTGGACAACGAGCTTGCCTTCAAGGGCTCTGATCAATCCCTTGAAGGCAAGCTTATCCATGCGACAGAGCTCTCGAAACCGTACGTCAGAGCCGTTTAATATCTCTTTCGTATATTCATTTCCACAAAGTTTCGACGTGCAACAGGGGATCTTTGCAGTGTTTTGCACGGTCTCTAGATAATCCTTGCCGGCTTGAATCACCCGTTTGAGCAGTTTGCTCCTTCTAAACGAGGTTGAGGATGCCGTCGAGTTAGAATTGGAGGAATCAGAATCGGACATGATTGGTGATGGTTGTTTGTACCATCACCGATCACATTCTGTGATTTGTTGACCTTAGATGGTCAACAAAGCGAACACTTTTCAAACGACTTTTGATGTCCTTCATTTGAAATGCGGAAATATGGCATTCTACTATAAAAAGACTTTCGTACATGTACAAAAGTGGTCCCTTAGAAACCGATTTCTAGAAAACCGGGCTAAGTGAACGCGCTCTAAGTGTACCAGTTTAATTTCCATCCCTCTCAGCCAGTTTCCCACTCAAGGTTCCACTGCAATAGTCCCAAGGATGATGAACTGTTCTTTCTCAATGTGTAATTGCTTCAATTTGAAAAATTGTTCTATAAGCCGTTGTCAGTTGAAGAGAGGCGCAGAATCTTTGACTGGCCCAGTGAATTTAGGCATGTCTGATAGCTTGATGTCACAAGCTTGGACTACTCAATCTTTGCGTCAATGCAGCGTATTGGCAATGATGTGTTGGTACAGCTTTGGCATGATCAAAGCAGACTTGGTGAGGTGTGTTGGCAACTGCCTCTGCTCCTGTGTGAATCCAAGGAGTTTCTGTGTAAGATGACCGGGGCAAGTTGTACTTGGATTCATACCTGGTACATTTGTTGTCCATGTTGGTCGGTTCCTTGACAATTGAAGTCAATGGAGCGGCTTCTGTGTGGCCAACTTGCATTGGGGTTTGGCAGTAGTGGATATGGCTTTAGTTCCTACAGGAGTTGGGGTGCCTGGGCTTTGAAATCTCAAGAACCAGTTTACTGACTGTGTTGCCATGCTTGAACCTGCGCTACCCGAAGCTGCCGCGAGAACATCATGCAAGACATAGAAGCTTCCAAATCCTGGATTCAGTCTTTATCTGATCTAAGCGCCAAGATTTCCGCTTGAAGACTTTTTTATCTGAGTTGTCCTGACCTTCACGGCCCTTGCCTTGATAATTTGGAAAGCTCTCCATCACAGCTTGTGGATTAAATATGAAACCACCCTGTCTAAGGGTTGGGTATGAAATTCTTGTGTTGAATAATTCTTGTACTATTTACGGGATACAAAGTAGAAGCCGGGCACGTGCCCGGCTTTGTGCCCAGATTTTTTTTGGCAGTAAATTCGGATTCTGGGCCCGGACTTTTGCCCAGAAAATTGAAATTTACTGCCAAAATAATTCCGGGCACAAAGCCGGGCACATGCCCAGATTCTACTTTGTATCCCACAATTCTAGTGTTTGGAGAATTGCTGGTTCAAAGGGTTCAGGAAAATTGGCAGGTTTCAATGTGGCTATTGGTCTTGGTTTAATGGTGGCTTGTATGGTGAAGTTGCTGTCCAGTGTGTCACGGGGAGCCTCTGGCCTTTAGTTAAATCTGGGAGGGGATGGTGCTGCTGGCAATGTCTCAATGGCTAGTTGGTGTTGTATAAGCTGTCTTTGTTGGCCTAGGCAGGATTCTGGGTTGTTGGTGATATTCGAAGGTAACACAAACCCCCTCAAAAAAAGTTGATGACTTGTCAATTATTGATTTTCTCACAGATGTCAGATCATCATCAATTTTCAAGGTGTTTGAAGGCCAGTTGATAATTTGAGTTTTGAAATGTATGGTGGTTTAAAAAAGTGTAAGACTCCAATGAGGGGTCTTCACTGATTCCAAGGCTCAGGAGCAGCAGCTCCAAATCTGAACTAAAACCCAATTAAAGTTTCCCAGCAAAAATCTAGTTCCAGACAAAGATTTTGGTGAATTGGTTCCTACGCTCTACTGATAAAAAATGGTGAAAAGGACATAACAAAAGAGAAAAGATGAAAAAAAGGGAATGATACTCACCTACCTCCGGCCAAAGATCTTTGTGGAGCTAGGGCCAATGACAATTAATGATCCAGACCTGTCTTCAGCCATGATTTATGTACAACCCATGTAATACCTTACACTCATATGACATGTTGATTTGGTCATGAAAACAACTAATACACATTGAAGATTGGTTGAGCCAAAATACAGTGGTTATCATCAAAGCTCAACTACCCCCCGTAGGGGGTTTCGAAATTTTGGCTAATCATCACCTGCGTTGCCAGGGCACTTTTCATGCTTCTGTGGCTTAGTCACTACATGCAAAGTGCTGACCCCGTGGATGCGGGGTCGCGGTGACGCCGCACAAAACCCAAGGGGGGGGGGTCTTGCAAAAGCGGGCGGTCGATGGCGTCACCACCTTGCATGTAGTGAGTGGTATAAGTTAGTGACTATGGTTGTGGCCTCTGGGTTTGAGTCCCTGCTGTTTTTTGTACATTTTTGTTCACAAGTGTGTCTTGATGGTGTGGTAAACGTGAGCTATCTCATGCTGTGCTTTTTGAATGCAACCATCTGAGAATTTGATTGAATCTCACACGTCACATATTGTCAGTGAACATGATGTATCTCATGCTGGGCTTTTGAATGCACCTTGTTTGTGCTTTGGTTGGGGAAAAGAAGCTTAACCTTCTTGATCTTTGATTTGAGATCCACCTCAATACCCTTCCCATGGCTTTCAGCAAAGCTCAAAAAGCCCAACAACAGCGCCGCCTTACTGAAAGAACTCGCTGTGACACCACAGATTTGGACAATGAAAATGACTCTGTGGCCACATCAGACGGTTGCCAGGATCCAGTCAGCGACACCGACACCAACACTGAAATTGACACTCGAAATCAAATCTGTGAAGTGATGCAATGCCTCGATTATAACATTGCTGACTCTTGAGATGAAGAGGCATGCAAAGAAGATCTCAGTGAGCTGCTCTGGCCAGCCTTTTGTCGACAGCGTGCATCTGAATCTTTGGCTTGAAAGCGTAAGCATTCTTAAGGTTGAATCCTGAACGGCTACAAGAAGCCAATCTCCAACATGAAGAACCCAAGCAGCAAAAAACTTGTCCCCCGACCTCTTCCCAAGGCCACTCGTAGTAATTACAAATCAAATAAAATCAAAGCACTAGGAAAGAACAATTCCTGCATGGAAAGGTGGATTCAGACTGCCAAGTCAACAAGCACACCCACCACCGAGATGCCCAATGTTCCCAAGCCAAGCACACCTGCGATAAATCTTCATGATACAACTGAACCAGCAGAAAAGAATATTGAAAAAGATCAAGATACAATCGATTACAAAAGATTCATTGAAAGTTCTGTTGATGCTTACCGATCATCATCAAAAAAAACTGGTGGAAAAGATTTGAAAGGTTATTTAGATGAACAGTTTAAAGAGCCAGATGATGCAATAAATTATGTAGCAGAGGAATGCCAGATTAACCAAAAGAATAACCCACGTTATCAGTACCCAGCTCTTGAGATTGATGAATTCCAAGATTTCAATGCACTCCAATATGAATTTGCCTTGGAGAAGAGAAAGACACCCAAAATCACTGCTTCACAATTTGCTGCCAAATCATCCGTTCGGCAATTACCAACTTCAAAAAAGAATCCGAGCTTCAGCAGCGGAGTTAGTCGTGCTTGTTGGATACGTGCCCAAGCTAAGCACATTGTGAAATCTAAATCATTATTATTATCAAATACTGGGCTCAACACTGCCCATCCCTCAATGCTTGATAAAAAACAAATGTTTAAAGCTCTTTACCAGTGGATAGTGGAACAAAAACCAGGACAGGTTTGTTTCTCTCTCTCTTATTTCTCTGCTTCTTGATCAATAAAAGTCACATGTCTAATAATGTCTGGTTTGTATTCAGGTCACACCTCGAATCTTCCGTGATCATGTAAACAAATATGTCTTACCTCACTTCGGCTTCAGTGGAAAGATCGCACCGGCAACGTCTTACCAATGGTTGTACAAACTTGGTCTCCAACCCCAAAGTTACCAAAAGTCCATCTACTTTGATGGACATGAGCGACCAGATGTAGTCGAGTCTTGGAGAAAGTTTTGTAATGTAGTAGAAGATCTCCGTAAAAGGTCGGCTACCTTTGTTGGAGATCAACTGAAGACTTCAATTCCGCCTGATCCTGAAGTTCTGGGCAACAATTGAGAGACGGTATTTGTGTACCACGACAAATCTACTGTGCATGCCAATGAGCAACATCAAAAAGCGTGGCTGCCCCCTAGTGTCACAGAGCTTTGAACCAAGAGCAACGGCCGACTTATACATATATCAGACTTCATTCTTGAAAGTCATGGTCGTCTGGAGATCAACCCAATCGAAGCAGCTATACTTCAAGAGACAACTGACGCCACTGTTGTAATTTTCCCCGGGTCTAAAGGTGACCCACGGTGGGACATGGTGCAGCTCTGTAAACAAATCAAGGAACGAGCAATTCCCATCTTTGAACGCTTTCACCCTCGGTGTCAGGCTGTTTTTGTTTTCGACTGTTCATCAGCTCATGAAGCCCATGGACCGGAGGCTTTACGAGTTCAAAACATGACCCTCAACCCAGGTGGAAAACAAGGTCAATTACAAGATACAATTATCCCTTCTGATGATCCCAATATACCTGAACATCTACGAGGCCTTCCTCAGCAAATGGTGTTTCCATCCGACCACCCTAATCCAGTTCTCGCTGGTAAAGCCAAAGGTATGCGAGCTATCCTTGAAGAGCGTGGGCTATGGCAATGTTACGAAGAAAATATCAAATCCTTTGGAGAGACTGCTCTTCTTGGGAAATGTTCAGCTTTCAAACAATCAGGATTGAAGCAAGATGCTCAGAAGCGAGCAGTTTGTCTCATGCAAGAGGCCGAAGCAAATGGTTACTTTTTAACCGAGGATCAATGCTTACCCAAAGAGCTCAGAACCGACCAACCAGCTCCATCTGGAACCCAGATTACAGATTACTGCTGTGCTTCAAAGATCCTCAGCCTTCAGTCCGACTTCGCCAACGAAAAACCACTTTTACAAATGATCATTGAAGAGGCTGGTCACATATGCCTGTTTCTCCCGAAGTTCCATTGTGAACTAAATCCAATTGAATTGTTCTGGTCATTCATCAAGCATCGTAAGTCTACACATGTTGTATCTACATTATCCTGTTGGTCTCCTCTACGTTAACTGATTAACTCGATGTTCCATTCAACAGGCTTCCGCGACGAGAGCATGAATTGCAAGACCTTTGCCAAAGCAAAGGATCGAAAAAGCTGCTCACTAACAAACATCCGACAATAATTTCGCAAGATTGATTGCCAACGTTCCGCTGATCAGTAAGCGATACAAGCTTCATCTATAAGTTCTTCTGAAAACTCATCTATGTATTTCATGTTTGTAGACAAGGATACTCAGGTATTGAGGCTGAGAAGGTTGTAAAGAAGTACAAATCTCATCGTACCATTCCTCGGGAAGCTGGCGTGTGGGACGATGTGTTGCGTGGCTGACTGCTGAGCCAGGCTGAGCAAAGTGAGGGTATAAAGCCATGGTTTGGGAGATCAAAACCCATGAACTATACCAGGACCCCGGTATGCTCCCTATAAGGGTACTGATGTAAAAGATGACTTTCGAGTAGGGCTGTGACCCGGCCCTGAGAGTTCGTGGCCGGCCCCGGGGCCAAGTCCGACCCTGGGTAGACCCGAGGTCCCCTGGAAACTTCTCAGGGCCGACCAGGGCCTGCCCGAATCTCAGGCCTTGGGTGTCCAGGCAGGGCCGGGCCCAGATTTACGAGTAAAAAACCCTTGGAAAGGGGAAATTTTTATATTATTTTTGGCGAAAACAGGATCGGGCAGTCGGCCGGGCCGGGCGCCCGGGGCGCCCGCAGGGCTTTGCACCCTATTCTGATTAGGTTTCAGAGCCCCGAGGCCGGGACCGCCAGCGTTGAAAATATCGCCGGGCACCTTCGGCCGGGCAGGGCCGGGACCGGGTCACAGCCCTACTTTCGAGGTCCCGCGTAATTACGCTTCATGGGATTATGCACTAGTGTCTTAGATTTTGCCGGTTTCTGCCCATTCCAGAGCGGCTTAAAGGTACGATACAGCTGATGTGAAAGATTAAACTTGTCTGAGAGTATGGGTAAAGCAAGGGGCTTATCTCCATGGGAGCTCAAAAGTCATCTTTTTACATCAGTACCCCTCATAAGAGCATACCAGGGTCCTACTATACCTGTATAAGCATATTTACATATCCCAAAAATTTTTTTTTAGCTCACACAGCTCTGTCCTCATAGAATTAGATTAAGATAGGTCCCCTGAGTCCATTACATTCAGAAAAATGGGCAATGTGTAATTACTAAGGGTTACATAATTTGCCTCAAAGTTGAAATTTCACACTGCAGGCGCGGGGTAGTTGGCCTTTGGTGATAACCACTGTAGGGTATGTAGTTCATATTAAACTACCAGATCCATGGCAAGTATTGTGCAAGTCCAGAGTGAAATCATGTAAATACCTGATTTAAGATTGCTACTGTTCAGTTGTAGCATATAAGAGGCCAATACGGGTTTTCTTGGTTCCACTACCAGTCTGTACAAGGTAATGTGAGCAATCACTGCATCATGCCCAGAGCTTATTGACCCCAAAGACTCCTGCAAGCAGAGAAGCTGCCAATTTTTAATTAATTACTTAACCACTATTTCAGCATCCAATGTTTGAGCTTCTTGCATGACCTGTGCACTTATCTGTGTAATGAAATCTAAGCTGATATGAATGACCCTTTGAACCCTTCCAATTGCCTTAAACTTTATGTAGTTCCTACCAAGGATTTATCCAACCACAAATTCCAAACAATTCTTCAAAATTTATCCTTTCATGTATATAAACTTCTCCCTATTATACAAATGTTAAATTTGTATATGTAGGCAAGATGAATAAGGTCTACATCTATTATAACAGGCAAAAGTCCCAGATGACAGCATTGGGAGACATATAGTGTATGTTCCTATATTGTGAGCCCCCCATGGAAAAATCAAAGTTGCACTTTTTGTGCAAGTCTTGGGGAGGAAATGAAATCCAATCAATCCAGCTCACAGCTTCCTTTGACACAACTGGATTATTTGCAAATTCAGGAAATCATCAAAAATATTCATGTTGTGGCAGCCATAGTCATGAAGATATAATGAAAGCTTTGTGTGGAAGCCTTTGCACTGGGTCCCACAGTTCTCCATGTTGAAGCCCACCATGATATTTGATGTCCTTACATCTAGACAAGATGGAAAAAATCTTTGAGAAACTCAAACCAGCAAGAGTTGGTGTGCACAAAAGTGGGAAGACTGTTCAATCAAACTGTTTGAAAAACTCAATTTCCAATTCTGAATTCTTGATTGCAAACATGTGGGTTGATTTCTATGTTTGAGGTACCTATATTGCCTTTGATCCTTCTAGACAAAACAAACCTACACCACCCTCCACAAGGTGCTTGATCCAATCAAGGAAATGGTATTACTCAATGATGTCAAAGCCATTGAGTGCTGTCAGATTCAACTCAGAATATGCATGGACTTGATGGGAGGGTTGGTAAAACAAGAGAACATATCTGGTGAGGATCTATCCAAAGTCAAGAAAAGAGATACATTTGAAAAGTATAAAGATGATGAGAACAGAACACTGATGGGTGTAAGACAAGAAAGAAATTGATAACATAGAGTATTATGAAATCTAGGTATCACATGGACCAGAAGATAGAAAGTGCCAAGGTGTTTAAAAGGGGGCTTCACATATTCTATGATTCTCTCCTGGTTGTCTGATATCCATGGCACAGATCTTTACACACATAAAAAAGGCCAAGACTGGAGCTCATCAGCATGAGCCAAGGCTCAGGTGGAGAAAGAAAAACCTGCTTATCTTAGTCTTCACCTTTCACCACTGCATCTAATCAAGGTATGGGAGCAACACGACTTCAATCAGTAGAAATTGCGTGCAATTTTAGGGGGTGAGAAAAAGAAATCAGATACCTCTTTGATTTGAATTGTGACGCACCTAGGAACAAGAAAGACAGGAGAATCATTCATGTGGATCAATATTGGACGAGTATCATCAAATTGATTTGTGTACTCAGAACTTACAGCAGCACAGCGGTTGGGGCAGTGGACTTCAGAATTATTGGCTTCATCCGATCCATCACAGCATTCAGGTTCACAAATTCCATCATTGACTCTTGAAATACGAACACAAGCGGGGGTATGTCCTTGATTTCTACATTGAAAGTATCCTTTTGGACACTCTGAGGACTGAAGAGATATCATTGGATCAACACTCAGGAATATCTTTGATGGCACACAATCCATGGTTCCTAGAGAGTCAACCATGATGGACCAGTCCCCATTGGCCGGAACAGCAGCATTGAAGATTGTTAATACACTTGCACGTTTGCCTAATCCAGTTACTTTGGCCGAATTTGTGGAAGAGCTTAGACCTGGAGAGTATTCAAAAAAAAGGCCTTTGACAGAACCTTCAGCTTTGACACATGTAGGCCTTGCTGGTAAACCCAAAATGATCACTTTCTGAATGAGTATGTCGCTATTATTTTTGGACCAGTCATTGTTGGGACTGAAAGCTGTCAAGGCTCTGGCCAAGCCAGGATGAGCATTGCAAGCAGCCATATCAACCGCATCACCAGAAGACAATTTGAAAGTCTTTGAATTGATTTTCTGAAGTTCAAAAGAGCGATAAATGAATTGACCTTGCTCATGATTGAGACTCTCGCCATCATCCAGGTAGAGTGTCCCACGGGCACTTCCATCTTTATCAAGTGCAATGATTAATGTGATAGGATCTTTTTTCATCATTGGCGCTGCCCTTCGGATCAAATCACGTCTGGTCAAAATATGACCACCACGCAAAAAGAGCGGCAAGGTATCAAGCGGAGCCGGAAATTTGATTCTCTTGCTGTGAGATGAGCTTGATAGAAAGAGGTCGTATGTAAAATAATTATAATACGGCTGAAAGGTTGAGTGAGATCAGGGTAAGGAAGCTTGAGATTTTATCAAGCAAATATCACTTCACCTGAGCATCCGCAAGATAAACATCCGTTTTGGTCTGGCCTTCTATCGTAAGGGGCTTCACAAGTAATCCGGAAGAGCCAAGATAGAACTGATCATCAATTGCAAATCCACCTTCATCATCTGGGAACATCACATATTGTGGGCTGAAAGTCCAGAAATTAGCCAAAGGGTTATATGGATCCACAAAATTTGATGTTGGAAGCACTAACACAGTCATTGGAACCCCTGTGAAAGTGTTCTCAAAGAACGCCGTGTACCACACTGGCAAGAGTGTATATCTAAGTTTAATCATATCCACCATGTAACCACGGAATGGCTCATCAAAAAGATACGGCTCCCTTCGTTTTGTGTCAATGTGAGCGTGCGCCCTGAAAAATGGGAAGAAAGCCCCTGTTTGATACCATCTGACCAGCATCTCATTTGAGGGATTGCCAAAAAATCCCCCAACATCAGCTGGATCAGGGAGCAACAATCAGTAATCCCCTTTGTGCGGCACTGCCACAACTGGTAGGATCAGGTATATACACAGACATACCTCCATTAAAAGTCATCCCGGAGATGGCGTTGCTAAGTACAATCCGGATAGATACTCTAAGGTGATCCCAGGTACCCATGTTGTCACCTTGCCAAGTTGCCCCGTAACGCTGACTACCAGCAAAATAGGACCGCGACAAGACAAAGCCACGCATTGGCGGCGACGTCCGTTCTTGCAATCCGCGGTGAGATTGATTGTGCTAAGTGAAGACGGAAGATCTATATGAGATTATCTGCCAACGCAAATGACCATAGCAGTAGACACGTACAGTCAACATCCCATTCAAGTTATGTACGTCGCGATGTTCCCATCCACCAAAATGAATGTTGTCACGAGGTAATGTGATTTCGGAGGAGTTGAAGACAGACGGCTTTTTATCCAATTAAAGCAAATGTGAGTTCCAGATTTCCAATGTCAAGAATGGAAGCCAATGAAGTACAAACCTCATTCATGTCTGATGAGAAAAAAATGCATCAGTTCTCCTGAAAATCTGGAGATGAGGGATTGAACATACCTAGCCAGTTATGGACATTAATAGTACTCTCTCTGTACTTATCAAATTTGAATAAACCAGCCCACCAGTCCCATGCCTTGGGGTTGAGGTAATCAGTCCAACTGGACGATCCGGGCCAACACCGCCCTTCATATTCGGATCCATTTGGAAGCTTTACAAGAATATCGAGCTCAACAGCTTCCTTGTAGACGTAGTAGTCCGAAGAACGTTTGACATGCGGGTCAACGATTGTAACGAGCTGCTCAACATACACCCACCGTCAGCAGTTTGGATATAATAGTGTTGGTTGAAGTCCAGCTAACCTTGCGACCAGTTGCTTCTAGATTTGCGATCATCTTCATAGGGTCCGGGAACGCTTTCTTGTCCCAAACAAAGTACTTGTGTCCCTCGGCGTATTCGATATCGAGCCAGATGACATCTAAGGGGATGTCGTGCTTATCAAAGTTTCTCACCACATCCAATAAATCTTCTTGACGGAAGTAGTTCCATCGACATTGGTGGTGGGCAATCGAAAAGTAAGGTGGCATGAGGGTAGTGCCGACCAGTGAACCAAACGAAGAAAAGATATCTTTCGAGCTGGGACCCAAGAAAAAAAAGAGGTCCAGAATCCCACTTTCGCTCATCCAATGTGTGGTGGTGGTGATAGCATTGGGACCTTGATCGACACCAGCTTTCTTCTGAGCTTCGCCTTGCTTCCATGTTCTCATAACTTCAGGTTTTGTCGGTTTTTTTTCGATGTCAATCCAGGTTTCAGCCGCATTGAGCCAAAAAACTGCAACAGTCGATCCAGCTCGGTGAGCTTTCATGAAAGGGATCGCGCCATAGAGAGCCATTTCAGAATCGGCTTCGTATTCGGAAACGTCCAAGTTCCACAGACGATATGGATCGGTGTAGGCCTCCTTGTTTGCCGAATCGGTTCCGCGCGTAGTTTTCAGAGAGAGTGGGGAAGCATGTTCTGGAATACCATAAACATGTTGATAGCCAGGGAAAGTTATATCCAGACTGAGGGATTCCGGGCCTATAGTAATTTAAACTGACCACGTTAGCTGGGTTGATGTATAGGCCTTGGACCTTACTAACCTTTGGGTTTGCTGTCAGTCCGCCCTCCGAAGTTCTCGTCCCACATCCCCTCTTCATCCACATCTTTGAAACCGGGATGAATGAGGTCGATGGGAGGAGCAACTTTACCATCGCTGGATTCGTGGATATTCAAGCCGTCCTGAAGTGCGGCAGGATCTTGACCCGCTGACTTCTCACGAAAGTGCTCCATGTTGAACAGCCCTCGTTCATTGAGCACAATGTGAGGTACACCATCTTTATAGAGCGTGACGAGAAGCGGGTGGTAGCTTAACAAGAACCGGTAGAGATGATCGTGTTCTAAACTCTGACCCCAGTCTACCACTGTTTGTTCGGTTTCGATATTTATTTTCAAGTCATCTTGATTCGTCAGGGAAGGTTGTCGAAGTAAAGTCCAACGATCAGCTTCGTTGTATCGTTGACGTAAACCCCCAACTTGATCGACTTTGATCCTCATCGTGCCTTCGCTGTCGCTCACAAAGCTGGCATTGAGTGCAAAACTAATATGAGGATATAGTTCATTGGTCAAGAGAGCACGCAGGGTCCGTTCTTCAGCCATCCAAACTGGTGGCTCTGCGATCCTATAGGGTGATCGCCATGAAGGAGAAAATTCGGCAGATTGAGCTCGAGTGGCTCGGGCACGGTTCCGCTTACAGAAGCTTGCTTGATCACATGTTTTATAGTCACCGCGCCTCACTGAAAGGGCTGGCAGGATGATCGAGCACAGGTAAATGACTATGAGGAGAGATAAATGCTTTGGAAGGGTGATCATGCTGTTGAAATAGATCTATCCACTCGTGGCAGGCTATCTTCGTTAAGAATGCGAGGTACTCAAGTTATCGGGAGTGAATGATAATGATCCAGTTATCTTAAATAGCTGTCATCATAGTAGCAGTAGCCAATCGCTCTAACAGGGCTAAGCACGTTCCCAATCGAGCGTAAACGTAGTCGACTCGCTTTCGTCACGAGGAAGGGACTTACCCACCTGAAATGCAAATCTTCGCCCGAGCAGTGAGCTGTAGCGCATCAAGAGTATTGCTATAACTGGCTGCGGCTCGATAAATACATCTCGATGGACAGGAAAATGAGGAGGGCAATGATCGTGCTAAGCTTCAAGCTGACTTACACCTCTGAAAAGCAAGTCGTTGCGTCAGAAATTCGATTGAGAATCAATGCATATGTTCTACTAGAGTCTGCGGTGGCACACCTATGCGCTCTGTATAATGACTTTCATAACAGAAGTAAAAGTGGATGCCCCGGCTGTTATGCACAGTAAAGCATTACATCAGAGCATCCACTATCGTTACAGTAAAAGTTCAGTAAATTTTACAGTACCGATTTCAAAGTACAGTAAAATTAGGTACAGAAAGGTGGAAATCCACTATCGTTTCAGTATATACCATTCTGTACGGTACGTACCGTACAGAATGGACCCTGTCCCACAATCGCGCTCTCCGTAAAAAAACTGCAAATCTCAATCAAGTTGGACTTTTTGGGGTTGCTCATGAGTTGACATCTCAGTTTGAGAACAAACAATAGTTTGGAGAATCATTGATTCAGAAACAACTGATCTAACAGACGTTTTGAAACAAACGATTCAAAAAACGATTTGAAAACGAGCAATATGAGAAAAAAGATTTGAAAGCAAACGATTCAAAAAACCTGATTTGAAAACAGATGATTTGAGAACAGGGAGACTTGGTGACAGTGGTCAGCAGTAACAATGTGTGATAGGTATGCTGGGAATCAGGATGAATGGCAAGTTTGGTGTATGTAGGTGGATCAAGAGTAGAATCAAAGGCAGAGGTGTAGTCAAACTTTGACTTTTGGGAGTGGGATGTGATGTGCGCCTCGGTAAAGTCCAGTACTTTTCCACATACCAATTCGGTAGAGGTCCAGTATATTTGCTGGACCCCTACCGATTTTCCACCGATTCTGTTGGTACAGATCTGTATTTTGACCACGATTGGGAATTTCGAGGCTCGGTACGGTAAATTTCAGTAAAATTTACCGTACCGAGGCCATTTACAGAGACGATAGTGGATGCTCTAATTTCAGCTCGATTCATCTGAGATTACAGTACTATAGACCTTAGGCGGGCTCGCCCGCCCTTAAATCTAGGGCTGTAATAGAACATTGGAGTATGTATCAGGACAAATGCTCAAGCCATGTGCATAATTTGTAATTCTGAAACATCATCAATTATTTTTAAATCAAGATATGTTCAATGGCACTTGAACATAGGGTATAAGGCTTAAATCATCAACTATTGTGTGTCTGAGTTTGATACTACACACACGGCAAGATATAAAGGATCTTGAAATGGTGATGTAGGGTGAGAGGTGGAATATCAAGTTATTATCTGACTTTCAGGAATAATTAACATCACATCTAAGAAGGGTGTCATTAGGTCAAGATTCAATCATAAACTATATTTCAAGAACTGTTCTAAGCTCCTAAAAGTTTGATACAATGTCCTCTGCAATAGATAAGTTGTTAGCTCAGGCATGAAACATACTACATGGCTGATATTGCATATATAATAATTGATCATGACCTATTGTATACAATTTGATTAATATGTTTCTTGTGGTTTTTCTCAATATGAATTCCTTAGTATAGGATGTGATTTGTTGAGATTGAACCTTGTATGAGAAGTGATTGGTAATCAAACTTGATTTAGTCTGACTGGTAAAGTGATTGATTGGTACAAGCTACAAGGCATTTTGTATGATTATTTTTGAAACTGAGTTTGCCATGGGATTGGTTTTGAAAAGGTGATATGCAGTGTTCTAGAATATCAGGAGGTATAGCTGAGGCTTATTATCTCAATGGGTAACACCACCTCCAAGTGTACTTGGACTGAAACATATATACTAATGGCCTTCATACACACACATCTTCATTTAATGACTCTCACAAGCAACACTTTACCAATGATTGCATTATTCAAGAGGTCAACAATCCACAATTAGATCTCCTCAAAGTCATTAACTTGAGGAATATATTCAAATAATCTTTTTCAATCAACAAAAAGAATAGATACGTCAACACAATCCACATAACTTTGGAATACAATGTTCATACATAATCCTATAGGAAAAAAACCCACCCTATCAAATGATATAAATGCTGATCAAATTTAAAGCATTCCACAAATTGAGAATTCTCTCATCTCTTGCAACACAATCTGAACTTGTTGTGATCCTACCATCAATTCAAAACATGGATTTAAATATGGGATTCTTAAATCTAAAAGTTCAGATAATTCTTGATTTAAAGCTTAATTATGAAATTCAAATACATGTTCTGAATCTTCACATTCTAATCTTCAGCTTGAATTGATCTACCAGGATCATCTTATGGTTTTTTGGTCAATGTTGTTGATTTTTACAAGCTGTATCATAATTGAGTAAAAAAATAATGTAAAAGCATAAGGAAGTTTATGAGTTGATTTAAAAGTTGATTGTGTATAGAAGAATGTAAAAAGTCACCTTCTGTGTCATTCCTATGATGTGCTATAATCTCAGGGAAATGAGCACATAATTGACCGTTAGGTTTAAGGACCGTTGACCGGTAAGGCGTATGCTGAAAATCACAATCACAATCAATTGGAAACTTGTCATGTGGATTGTTGTGAGTAATGCACGTAATAATAAGCTTGTCAATACAATAGGCTTATGATGAGTAAAAGATTTGAAACAGATGATCTTTATTTCTTCAACACAACACAACAGCTACTGCATAACAAACACAAGTAAGAGAGAAAGATAGAAATAAAGTGAATATGAAAAAGAACAAGATTACCTGTGAGTAATGCACGTAATAATAAGCTTGTCAATACAATAGGCTTATGATGAGTAAAAGAATCAAAACAGATGATGTTCAACTCTTGGTGCAAAACTTCACAGGTATAAGTAGTGAAAACAAACAACAGAAGAGAGAGTTAGATATGAAATAACATATGTAATGATGATAATATGAAATAACTGAGACAGAATAAAGAAATCAAATAATGAATCAGAGAAACATAACCGTGACAACATTTCAAATATAATCATCATAACCAATAACCAATATTCCCCCCTAACTCGGACACCCTACACTGGAGACCTGTTCACAACAGCGGCGAAACGCATTGATTGGTAGCGGCTTAGTAAGGAAATCAGCAGGCATAGAATTAGTAGGCACATGAGAAGTAATTATATTTTTGAGGCAGACATGATCTCGAATAAAGTGATAACGGACATTGTTGTGCTTGGAGCAATTGTTGATGACAGGTTCCTTGGATAGAACAACTGTTCCTTGATCATCGTTGAACAGTTGAATAGCATCACCAACAGAAGAGATTGAGACCACCAATACAGGTAAATTTAAGTCTCAAAATAAAGCTTTGAACCATAACGCATGGCGTGCACAATCTGAAATAGCCATATATTTGGCCTCGGTGGTGGACAAAGCCGTTGATTTTTGTCGACGACTCCTCCAAGACACAATTGAAACTCCAAAGGTGAATAAGTAACCTGTAACTGATCGGCGGTCAAGAGGATCATTCGCGTAGTCGGCATCACCATACCCTTTAATATCAGCAGGTAAACTACCCCAAAACATAATCCCTTGAGTCAGAGATCCCTTGAGGTAACGAGCAAGGTGTTTAGCGGCATTCCAATGAGCAAAAGTATAACAAGAATTAAATATGGACAGCTGACTGACAGCATAAGCAATGTCTGGACGAGTACTAATAGCAGCCCAGTTGAGAGATCCGATTAATGACTGATAGGGCAAGTAGGCAGCAGCGGCTACATCCTCAGATGATCCATGTACTAATTTGAGACCGACTGGAAAAGGAAGCTTTACAGAATTCAAGTCGTCCAAACCGAACCGCTCCAGAAGATCTTGAAGATAATGAGTTTGATCAATTGAAATTGCTCCATTGTTATGATAAGATAATCGCATGCCAAGATGTAAGTTAGGCTTAGTCTTCCATTTTAATTCATAAGACTTAAGCATGTGGCGACGGAATTCTTCAATCAATGAATCAGAAGTGGAGATAAAAACCCGTTGTCAACATGCATGTGTAAGTAGATGAAGTGAGAACCTCATCAATAAGTGAAAAGACAATTGTCAGCTTTTGATGTTTTGAAACCAAAAACCAACAACTTGCTTCTTAAATTGTCACTGAGATCCCTAGCTCCCTGACGAGTACCATACAGCGACTTATATAGCTCCACAACCATTCCTTCCAAACCCGGTTCTACAAACCCCTTTACCTGTTGGATATAGACTTGCTCCTTGATGATTCCATACAGAAAGGCAGTGATGATGTCAAATTGAACAACGGAACACTTAAGGTAAGCAGCAATAGAAACAAGAATTCGAAAAGTATTGGTTTTGCCCACAGCTGAATAAGTGTCATTATAATCAATTCCTTCAATTTGGCAATTTCCGAAACATACCCAACAAGCCTTATACTTCAAAATATTTCCATTTCCATCTCTTTTATTCTTCAAAACCCACATACCACCAATTACTCGTGCACCAATAGGTCGAGGAACTAACTTGCCAACATTGTGTTGCTTTAACGATTCAAATTCAACCTTCATAGCTTTTTGCCATTCATCCGCATTGGGTGCCTCCATTGCCTGTTTATAGGTAGGTTCATCATTTGAATCTGTGCCTACATGACCAATGAAATTTCCAAGTCTTTGAGGCTTACTTTTTGTTCTGGTAGGACAATCCACGTTGCCTTCTGATGATGAGGAGATGGACCGACCGGTCAAAGCTCCAATGACGGTTGCGAGGGGTGTTCCAGAGACAGGAAAAGGTCTTTGAGCAGTTGATGGAGAGGATGAAGTAGGAGAAACAGTAGAGAGTAGCAAAGGTTTAAGAACCAGGCCGGAACCAGGAGGAGAAGTCTGAGAGTCATGTGTATGCTTAGGAGTAATCGGTAATACAGAAGAAGTACTTGTAACAACATCTGGAATATCAATACCAGAGTCTTCTATGATGATAAATGATGGAGAGCTGGATTGAGCGGAGATAGAGGAAAAAGGAAAGATGTCTTTGTTAAAGATAACTGAACGAGTAACAACGACCTTTTTATATTCAAGGTCCCAAATACGATAAGCTTTGGCCCCCATTTCATAGCCTATTAACACACCCTCTCTGCCTTTTAAGCCCAATTTTCCGGAGATCCGTGGAGCCAAGTAAATTGCAGAGCATCCTAGTGTCCTTAAAAACAAGGGATCTGGCCCATGAATACCTGAATCAGGAATATGTGAATTCCACACAGATAAAGGGGACCAAAAACTTAAAAAGGAATGGGGTGACTGATTAAGAGTAAAGGCAGTAGCTAATGCGATTTCTGCCCAAAGATTTGTAGGTATTGATGCGTGATGCAGATTGCACCTAACACGTTTGATCAAACTCCTGTTGTACCTTTCAGATATTGAATTTTGCTCCGGTGTCTCCGCAGGTCCTTGTTCCAAACTTATGCCATGTTGATGTAGAAAAGACAAAAAATTTGAAGATCAATATTTGCCACCTCTATCAGTATGTGAAAATTTGATCTTAGAACCAAATAAGAGTTCTACACAAGATTTGAAACGGACAAAATAGTCAAAAACATTGGACTTGTGTTTGATGGGATAAATAGTAGCATATCGAGAACAATCATCAATAAAAGAAACTAAGTGTTTAGCCCCCCCTAGTGATGAAGGAAATGGACCGATAACATCCGAGTGGATACGATGTAAAACATGAGAAGAAGTAGGATATTGAGAAAGACGCGGGAGACGGGACATCTTGGACTTCTGACACGTGATACACGGGGATCGATGAGAGGATACATTAGAAGAAAGTTTAATGGAACCATCTGAAATTGAACGCCTGATAGCATCGTAGTGGAGATGACCTAGACAATCATGCCATCTCTCAGCTGATGCGGCGAAAATAGAGACTGATGATAGAAGGCAAACCTTGCATTGCCACAACCTTTCATCGGAAGCCTTCTCACATACAAAATAGCCATTTCCCGCCATACAAATTATAGTAATGCTAGTACCAGAACCTGAAAATGATGCACCATTTGCGCATAGTTGACTGAGTGACAACAAATTTACCACCATAGTAGCAACATATAACACATCAGGAATCAAAATATCCATAGGCAAATGATTGTCTTCAGAAAACCCCGGTATGATGATAGAGCCGATATGACCCAAGATACCAGTAATCTTGACAGGCGAGATTGATTTAAGATGTTAGAACATGTCCTTGTTACAGCAGATGTTTCTTGTCGCAGCACTATCAGCAAGAATGACATCATAGGCCATAGGTTCGTCAGAAGTAGCATAAGCCTGAGCCGCAAAACCCTCATCAGGGAAATCGTCAACAGGATCAAGTGCGTTAAATTGATTCGAAGTCGTCACAGCATAAGTAGGCGCATTGATAGGTTGAGGTGGCGCGGATTTCTTTGCTTGATGAGCTGCTTCAATACTCAGATAACGCTGTACCATTTCAGCTTCTGATAAAGAATTAGCCATAGCAGAGGCAGCTGTTGCAGAGACAGACTAAGATGGTTTAGGGCAAGGTTGTTGGCCATTCTGAGCGTGACAATTTCTGTTGGTGTGAGGAAGACCTCAATGTTTAGGCAGATTGCATAAATCATTAGGTCCAGACCCAATTCGACGATTTCCAGCAGGCGGAACACTGGAAGCAGTTTTTGCGTTAAAAGCTGAGACCAAAGAAGTTTGACCAGTCAAAGATTGTTTTGCAGTCTCGAGAACAAGTTGGTCCATAACATATTGGGCAGTTAACTCAGAGAGATCCGCAAAAAATGGTGCCATAATGTAATCAAAATCTTTTCCAAGACCATTACACAGAAAAATGGCCAAAAGTTTGGGAGAGAGAGCAATCTCCTTATCTTCAGAAGTGTACTGAGCTAGTTGATTATGAAGAGTCCTAATGTGAGTGATGAAATTGGATAGCAATTGGCCAACTTCCAGACGAGCCGTTGCAATTTCACAAATTGTGGCTGCAGCCAAGACACCACCGCTACTACCGTGCGCCTTAGCCAGCTTTTCATAGGCTAGTTTAGGTGTATTGGTCAGGTGAATCAAAGAGTCGTTTGCAGCATTAAGTGAAGTGACAATAATTTTCATGACTCGACCTTGTTGTCGTTGGTAAAGAGCCAAACCGTCCGTGTCGGAAGGAGGTGCATCCTTGGTAAGAAATTTGAGGAGACCCCTAGTTTGGAGAGCGAAGTGAAGACATTTATTCCAGAGAGGAAAATTTCCATCACCTAGCTCCAGAATTTTGATACGCTCTTCAGTCGTTGCGGGAGGAAGGACAGATGCCATAGTCAAATTAGGAACAGGTTGCAACAGAGAAAAGACATCGGAATTGTCTGAAACACCTGTGTAGCCTCTGCAAAGTGACACATATACCCTTAGCAAATGGCACTGTATAGACGACAGTCAAGCCGGACCTTTGCAGCAGAGCTCTCCAGCGGCCCTGGAGCGCTTTTTCTTGCCCCTCAACTCTCAAGTTAAACACTTTTCAACAATGACAGAACTATTATTTGGACAATATATAGCCATAGTTCAACTTTATTAACATTTCATCATCCTCAAAAATAACAACTCCACCAGCAAGGTGTCCAGGGCAAAAAAACGCTCTGAGAGTACCTCAGAGCGCTCTGAGGTCTCTTCAGAGCGCTCTGAGGTCTCTTCAGAGCGCGCTGAGTGAACTTTCATACCCAGAGCGCTCTGAGTACTACAATTTCTTGCGTAAGGCAGAGTAAGGCCTCATTACCCTTCAACATCACCATCTCCGAGCATCCAACACAACAAACTAAGACCGCACCTTCAACACCCCATTGCTGAGCACTGGTCAGCGCTTCGAGCCTTCTTGCATGACACCTGTGAGTCACATAAAGAATCAAATTACTCATCTTTTCGAAGTTCACGCAACTTATTCCACATTCACCACTCTCATTACTTCCGAGCTCTATCTCATCGACTCAATTTCAAAAGGCCTTTTCAAATCTCAAGTTCTCAAGGCATCCCAGTTCATAGTAAACCAAACGATCGAATGTTAACCTGAACGATTGCAGGTTTACCAAATCTCAAATCTTTGGCTCATATCCCACCTTTGCACTTCTCTCCGGATTGTGTCTAAAAGTGAACTATTGTAAATACACATCACAAAAACACAAAGTAAACGACGTTTCTTTCTTATTTGCCAACTCCAAACAAAAAACATCACACGCACAATCACCTTGTACTGCCGATTTTGCCATACAATTCCCTACTGAATTGCTTTGTGGTCTTTGGTCCCCTCAACATAACATCTATTCACTTGCGAGTGATATAAAATGCATCCAATCATCATGTAATCTACCGATTCCATTGCAAGAAAGAGAAAACAACAATAACCAGGGAAAACAATAATAAAGGGCAAGTAGAAAATGTCAAAGAGAGCCATTGGATGAGGTCACACCACAAGACCATTATACATGAAAAGGACAGAAACATTGATGAAGTAAACTTTGAGTTAATTTTGACTGTTTGATGTAATAAGCTTGAGTCTGGTCAAATCACATATATGACAGTAGATCTTCACTCAAATTCTTCTTCTTCTTCTTCTGACGAGTCAGAGCTCATAGTGTTTGAATCGGAATCATCGTCTTCTGCCTCAAGTGGTTGTTTATTTGTTTTGTGTCGCTTTTGAGTTGGCTCTTTTGATTTTTGATGTTTACCGCTCCTTTTTTTCTTTTGTTTTGAGCGTTGTTCTTGCATAGGACCTCCTGATTGCTGCGATTCGTCTTGATGATCGTTTTGAGATGTCTTGCCATCTTCAGCAACCTTTGTTTCAATCAAAAAAAGCCCGTTCTCGATGTCCTTAATCCAGGCCTGAACCATTGCATCTGTTACACCTCGGTGTCCACGAAGAAGTTCCTCCGGTTTGAGAAGACTGCCGGACTTCTGAACAATTTTGAGTTCCCAGCCTTTCCTGTTCATTCTTTGAGCAGGATCATCGAGCTTTGGGAATGTGTCATGACCATAAGGCTCTGATTCATTAATGAAGTCAGATTGTCGTGATTCAAGCAATTGAGTCAGATATATCAAAACAACTCACTTAACAATGCATTTAGCATACACCCCAGTTGACTTTTTCTACGGTCACTCGCTTGTGGGACTTTCCCCTCGATCTCTTTGGCAGCATCTAATCCATGTACGTAAGTACGAAACTTGTCAGGAATATGTTTTACATTCAATGCCCATTCAGCGAATTTCACGTTGTTTGAGAACGTTTGCAACCATCCGTTGAGACCACCACAGCTCGCACTAGTTAGATAGTACGATATTTGATTTTGTTGACAGACAACAGAGAACTACAAACAAAAGAATGTGGTAAGAAGCTGTTGAGCTTCACCAGGTGCAGCAATCAACCGGAAGAAAACCTTACATCATGATGAGCCTTTCGAACAGCAATCATAGATTGTTTTTGTAAGGTTGCGATTGATGGTGAGGGATCCGGCTTTCCGTGGCAAGAATGTACTTTCTCAACATTTACCAAGTCTTTGAAAAGTGGCTTGTATTTCGCTTTGTCTTCGTCAGAAAGTTTGTGAATTGTTGGGCTAGGAGTAACGGTGTCGAAGTGGTTCAAGTTCACTCCGTTTTCGTTCTCGTCGTTCTCGTCGTTGATGTGCTTGTCATCTTCACCTAGTGATGCATTCGAGTAGTCGGGAAGGTTGGCCAGGGCAAAGAAGTAAGGATCTTTGAATATTGCCTGTTGGTCCTTGTTCAGTGAATGCCAGATATCCGCCATCTCCTGATTTCGTTTGGTCCAAGCATCTTTATTGTCACGATCAGGCACTAGAGAAAGCAATGGTTAATATCAGTTTTATGAATGAATGTAATGTATTACTTACGTTGCTGTCCCAGACATTTCACACAGAAGGTAAGAAATCGAATCCAAGGGTTGGCCTTGACTTTCTTCTTCCCAATACCTCTAAGATATACAAGGTGGTTGATCAGCTAGAATACTATAAGGATTATGAGGACATGTCGAGATAGGCATTGAACTTACACTAAGTTCCAGATGACAATCTCTGGAACCCCAGCCATCAACGCAATCATGAGGATGCGTTTTTCAAATTCCATTCGAACGAGTTTGACAAGATTCTTTATCTCTTTTGGAGCAGTACTCCGGCGCGAGTCTTGTTGAATTATTGATTCCTGGAGCTGGACAATAGTCCAGGAATCGAGTTCCTGTTCAAAGGAGTCAAGTTCAAGACCGGGGAAGCGAGACTGAAAGATAGCCGGATTGGTCTTGGACTTTTTAGCGGTGGCAGAGGGTTCCTGATTGGGTTCATCCTCGTCTTGAAAGGCATTGGCTCCGTCCTCGTCTTCATCCAGATCATGAGTTTTGGAGTTCGTTTCAGCAGTAGTTGATTTGTTCTTTTTGTTTTGAGGAGTTTTCTTCTTGCTTTTAGTAGATGAGCTACGATTAGATGCAGAGCCACGTTTGGCTTTTGAGCGGGTGGAAGAAGGCATTGATGGTTTGTTTGAAGCAAGGAGGAAGATTTGATTGATGAGGTTGTTGTGAATTTTTTGAGAGTGAGTTGAAACAGGTCGGAACGATTTGGATTGGGTGTTTTTTCAAAAGAGGGAAAAAAACGATTTAAAAGTCACTTATTCCAAAAAGCAGTATTCAATACTGATTGTAATTTCAATACACTTTATTTCAAATTTAAGATGTAACTACCTGCTTCAAGGGAAAATTTCAACTTTTCAATAGTATGTTATCAAACTGGACGGGTGTGAAGGTTCAATCAAAGGATAATCTTGAAGAGCATCGAAATTCAATACAAGGGCCAGCTATTGATTTCAATTGAAGAGAGATCAAGTTCCGCAATGAAGGGCTGGTAAAGCATCGTCACACTTTCAGAATATAGTTTTATAAAACACATCAATCAATGGAATATATAATGCCAATGAGTTGGAAAGGAGTAGGAATTGGCATGTGTGGTTCTTGAAAACAATTAAACTTAGACATACAATGATATTGTGCCTTACGTAGTTATATATGTTCATCATACATGATAAAGATATATCACTGATCAAACCTACAGCGACTGAGCCATCAATTGACATGCAGGACAAGTAGAACTTTTTTACAACATGTGCAAGCAAGCATTTTGAAGGTGTATCGGATTTTTGGGCTTTAATTATATGATAATTATTGTGCTTGGTAGTCTCCATATCAGCACAAGGACTACTAACGGGAAAAAGCAGTGGCTTTGTCACACTGTTTTTGATGTTTGCAGAAACACACTTCACCAGTAAAACTCTTGCTAAATTTGTGCAAACCCAAAAGTTGAAGTTGTTAGATATTTATATACTTTAGGTCTTCTAAAATAATTCATGTTTGAGGTGTTCACCCCACACATATCCTTCTAATGGGCAAACGTAGTGGCTTTGTCACACTGTCATTGATATTTGCCGGAAGACATTTTGCAAGTAAAACTTTTGCAAAACTTGTGCAAACCCAAAAGTTGAAGCTGTTGGATGTTTCTATACTATACGGCTTTTAGAAAAAATACATGTTTGAGGTGTTCACCTTGCGCAATGATCAGTTATGGCCTCATTAGTCATATTTTGGCCTATTTTTCTGGTGACACTGCATAAGGAAAAATTCTTCGATTTTTGATAAAAATCAGAAAATCAACCGGTTTCATGATGGGGGAGTATATGCCTTTGACTTTGGCCAAAAAAAAAGAAAAAAAAATGGGGTCAGATCACCAATATTAAATCTCATCATGATCACACACAGATAACATTGATTCAAAGTGGAAAAGAATCCAGCTGATTCTTCCGTTGAAGAATCTGAGTTATATATGGACCTCATTGAACCCTCTCATGAATAGTTAGTATGAGTCTGATGCACCAAGTCTCTAAAAGTTATATAATAATAACATAGTGTCTCTTCAACGTGACAGTTTATAACAGTTACGCTGGTTATGCCTTTTCAGACTCTCAGAAGTTATACCTTTTGGAGATTTTTATCTTTTATCTATGCTGAAGACTCTTATTGTCACTGTAGTAACAATGGTCTTAGTCATGAGCAAATTAAATAAGAACAGCACAGTTGTTTGAAGGTTTTTGATATCTTTTATCATGCCTTGACCTTTCTGCTACACAACTACACAACTGATTGCTGTTAAGGACAGCGCCCTGTTTCTTAGATTAAAATCACTAGCAACGCTGATAGTAGATCTGATAGTAGAGCTTGACGCACATCAACTTGAGAGATGCTAAGACAGACACTACACCAAATGTAATCTTTACCGGGCGGTAAAGAAAACTACTGACATAGAAAAGTCCTGAGGCAACAGGAAGAGATCTAAAAATCTGAAAAAATATGAACCTTGTTCCTAGATGTTGGGGCGTCATGATGAGTATTTTTTTGTATTTTACACACAGATATTGGTTTATGTACTAACAATAAACGCTGAAAATCATCAAAAACTCACATGTAACAATACCTGAAATTTGGGTCATGAGTATGAAGACAATATTTTGTGGTCTAAAAACTTCAATAACTTTTGCAATTCTGCTCCAAATAACTCGATTTTTGGTTCATTCAAAAGCTGAACTATTCTCCTTCACACTTCATAATGTTAGTAAGGTGCTATCTAGTCATTTAACACTCTACATATGTTCAAACAGTTCTGCATGTATAGCTCTGTAGGATCTTTTGTAGACCAGCTACAGATGTGATGTCTCAATGAAAAATGTAGAGGAAAGGCTCACCTTTTTAATGCACTTCAAATCGAGTGATTTGATTCAGAACTGCAAAAGTTATTGATGTTAGAAGATTTCAAAATTCTGTCTTCAAAGTCAAGGGCCAAATTTCAGGTATTGTTACAGGTCGATTTTTGATGATTCTCAGCCTTTATTGTTAGTACATTAACCAATATCTGTTTGTAAAATACAAAAAAATACTCGTCATGACGCCCCAACATCTAGGAACAAGGTGCATATTTTTTCAGATTTTTAGCTCTCTTCCTGTTGCCTCAGGACTTTTCTATGGCAGTAGTTTTCTTTACCGCCCGGTAAAGATGACATTTTGTGTAGTGAGAACCTATCTGTCTATCTCTTCACAAGAGTGTTCTTTAACACTCTCAACACAAGCCGTTTTATGGTTGGCAGCGGTTCTTCTTTGATTATCATTTTCAATCAACCAAGACTTTCCTTAGTTGGCAGGTGTTGTCACATGAAATAACCTAATTTAACGTCATTGGCTCATAGTGATCTTCCGGCTGCTTTGGGCAAGGTCATTTTGTATACACTGATTAATGATACATCTGAATCGAGTACCATTCATCCTCGATTTCTGAAGCACCTCATCCTCATGTATCATTTTCATTTTGAACTAAATCATGGTACTACCCGGATCCCTCATTCCAGATTCTAACAAACGTCAGCGAGAGCAGTCAGCCCCGGCCAGGCCACCCCCTGGAAGTGCCAGCGAAAGACTAGCTCGGCTTCTACAACGCGAAGCGGAAGCCTCGCATCGTAGAATCGCAGGCTTAGAAGAAAGGCCGAATCGAGACAACCCTGCGAATGCCCCAACCCGCAATGACAGGGATAGTCCTGATGAGCATGAGCAGCAACAAGATATTTACAACCACTTACAACTGACAGATGAAGTTAATAACATTACTCCGGTGAACGATGCAACTGAAATTCACCCACCCGGTCTGCGATCTGCATACTTCAAGAGCGTAACTTATCAAGAACGTACTCTTATCAAGGAAGCGAACTGGAAGAAGATAGTTCCAGATCTATTTGTTTCTTTCATGAGGTGTTCCCTCAAGACTCGTCAATGGGGGGATGAAGCAACATGGAACAACGACTTCAATATAGCATGTGCATGCCCGAGTTGGAAGAAGAGTGTAGTCGAGGTCGATGTGATTGATCTGACTAGTAATTTTTTCTATCGGGAATCTGATTCTTTTTCCTATTAAAACAAGGTCGTAAGAAGATATCGCTTGAAAGATGTGGGTGTACTGTTGATATTGTTAAATTAGTACGGAAAGGATACATAGGCGGAACACCAGTGAGGCCTCGGACGGCCTTCTCGATTCGCCTGCTAGCGTTTCATCATGCAATGTGGAAATATTGCACTGTTCGGCTATCACCTTTCTTAGAAGCAATCAATGAGTTCCTGGACTTGGGAGCCCTCTCTTTCTGGTTCCTGGTACCGAACAAGTAAGGGTTTCATATTTCTCAAATGATGTCTTCCACCGTTGACTGACCTTGATGGTTTTTAGACCCGAGATCTACGTGACAACTTTACGCAAGCAGTTGATGCGTACCGTGAGATGATTTGTCTTGAAGACGAATTGTCTGCTTCAGCTCTTTGTCTTTTGCCAGCCGAGAAGCTCGCATCAAACTGCCCCCCCTGCTTCGGACCGAAGGTTCCTGGGAAACGTCCCAACGAACCAGACCATATAATTTGCCTTGATGGCAATTTTCAACATCGCCGGCATGCAGCTGCGAGTGCCACGTGGAGAGGTGAGAGTGGGGTAATCCCCTCGCTTTTCATCAAACCCGAACAAATCAAGATTTGGGAAGACCGAATGGGACAGGTACCTCGTCAAGGCAGTAAATCGGCCCGAGAAGAAGAAGTTATTGTGAAACTATTTGTCTCCTGTTTAAATAACTATTGGTATCTAGTACTAACTTTTTGTTCTGTCTATGTAGGATCCGTGCAGTAACCAGCACACTGCTGCAAACGACATCCGAGGTCGTCAGACTTGGAAGGGGTTTTATGAAACAGGCTTGATGGGGATGGCATGCCGACATGACCACCTCATCAAGTTTATCAATATTATACAGACTGGCGAGCGGTATGTGTTAGCCCATCAACTTTGTACTTCACTTGAGCTGACAACCTGCCTCATACAACAGAGGATACTACGCGCTATCCATGATAGATCAAATCCTCAAGGAATTGGGTCAAGACACTGATACTGTTGAAAAGCTCAAGTTTGCTATACTATACAACATCGGATGCAACTTGGAAAAGAGCATCATAAAGGTACGTAAATACTTGTTTTGAGTCCATACTTTCACAGCTTGAGACCTTGAAACGAGTGATCTATTGACCACACTGCTCATTTGTACAGCGGAACTTTTTCACTTGTGCTCGTGCTAATAATCAGCTGAAATTCGGAACCAGCGTGTTCCATTCATACGTCCATCAATGGTCGTGTCAATTGCAGTATAATCCTCGACTCAACGAGGACTGGGGCCTTTCGGATGGAGAAGGACTAGAGAGGATCTGGTCAAAGCTAGCCCCCTTGGTTGGGGCTCTGAGGTATTCCACCGCATTCCACCGCCTTTGTGCTTTGGAGCTACGAACTCACCACATCAATGAGGCTGGACGTAAGGTATCAGGTACAGTATGATTCTACTGTTCTTTGACTGGTCAAATATTGAAACATTTTGTCGGAATAATATGTAGTACGATGGCTACTCCAGCGATT